TTTGAAACAAGATAAACAATGGGTTATTTCAAGAGTTGAAAGTGATACGATCATTCACTTCGGATTCAATTTTTGCGACATACTGTAAAACAGTATGCAGTCAAATCTACAAGTAAAAGTGCCGCCCTAATAATGCTCAAGGGACAGTCAATCAAAATTTAAAGTGTGCGGCGTCTGATGTCGCAATAGTAAAACGAGAGCGACCGCAAATTGTCAATTTCTTCTAAATGAATGTTAAACCACTGGATATTGTAAATGTGTACATTTTATACGTGGTAATGTTTCACCTATCATGAATCACTGATGTAAATGTGCAAAACATCATTCACGATACCAGATGTCAAAAAATTCGACTGAAAATGCATAAAACGACAAATTTTAAAAAAGTTCGATCGAATCATGTTCATAATTATTCATACACTATTTGGCTGGGCGCATTACGTCAGTTAGCCACTCGTGTCGTTTTTTTACACAGCCAAAATAAGTAGAAAATCATTCGCGATGATGTTCGTATTTTTAGACATAAGATATATTACAAGGATGAAATTGCGTTTAGAAATTTCAAGGATTTTGCCTCAAAGATTGCCATTCTTATCACTGAATTCTCAAATTGAATATTACCTCATAGCAGCCAAAATCGCATTGCAAGTTTCACTAACCTATAATTAAAATATTGTTGGGCCAGTCTTAATAGCGAGCAAGATGTACATTTCTCATTCTAATGATCAAATCAATTAAATTGTCTTGTAAAATATTTCTGCGTCGAATAACAATTACACAGTTATTAACTAATTCCTATGTTTGGTTTTGACTCATTAAATTTAAATCGCCACTTTGTTACCACTTCGAATCGGACATCGTGGAATCAACCGAAACTAATCCCATTTCAAATAGAATTTATAATTCATACCTAATGACGATAAAAAATTAAAAAAGTGTTTTGTGCGAATTAAATTTACTGTTTGTTATACTCATATTCAAAACAGAATTCCAATCATTTACCACAACTACAAAATCGTGTCGTATATCACCTCGAGTCAAGTTTGCATAGAATTAAGCGACTCCGTGTTTGAATATGTCGACAAACAATGAATAGGCATAGAAGGAATGTCGGTATTTTCTACCACATAAAATTTAGGGTTTAAGAACCTCTAATACAAATTCTTATAGTGAGAAAGCAGCATTAGTTCAATTATAACAATGCCAGCTTCGCCCTCGTATCGGCCAATCAATTCCTCTGTATGCTAAAAATAAATTTAACGGTGACTAGAAATGAAAAGATAAATATGAGAAAGTGATAAAAAAGTTGTTTCTCCTATATATAAAACTTCAGGAAATACTGTTGGGTAATAGTTTGATATTTTCCCTTTAAAACCACAATTCTCTTCATAATTCCTGTAACGTAGGTAATGTATGATGGGTGAATACCACACGAATTTAAACTAGATTACTCTGGAAATATGATTCAACAAATACAGCGAAAAGTCGCGAAAAAACCCTTTTTCTGAAGTCTTCAATTACATTTGAAGGTACTAATGTGATACTTGATATATTTCGGTGAATTGTGGCAAGGAAAAACGTATACATCATTTGTTTGCGAATCTGAAATGGAAGAGTTTCCTCGCTACAGGTAGTCTAGAGTTTTAACCACACATAGGATTCTTCAATTATTGTCCCAATTAGAAATTTAAAACCAGCAACAGAATCTGATATATTATGAACAAAAAATTATTCAAATTAAATGTTTCCCTTTTCAAGATATTATGGTTTGGTATAAAATTTATTCAAAGAAAAGGTGGATAAAGTTTAAAAAAATCTATTAATGTAACGTTTCTGACTCGAATAACAGATGAATTTTAAATTGTAATGGATCTTATCAGATGTATGTATCAGATGCCGTGTACCCACGTAATTTCAAATATTCAATCGCTTTGAAAATTTGACAATGCAACGAAAACAACTTGGATTTCAATTTCTTTTTAAAATATAGGCTATAGGACATACCACAAACAAAAGGTTCGAGAAGTCGGTCAGGCGGATGGTCTTCCCGACGTCAACGCGGAATTTATGGAAGGCCTTTTCACCAATAACTATCTTTGTAAGTTATAGTAATTTACCATCAATCATATCAAGTACCAATTGACAGTGGTCATTGAGTATCCTCTGATAAATTTCAAACCATGAAAATCATAACAATATTTCGTCCGTATAAACTCATCCCTTCCCTTCAACAGGAAAAATAAACTATGTCGTCCGGTTATGAGAGCTAAATGGATCAAAAACATTTCGGGTGTGTTCTCTTTTGGCAAAGTGAGAACTGTAATAATAGTCGGTACGTCGGACGGATGTACGGACACAGTCGGATATAAGAACAAACTTTGAAATTATTATCCTTATAATTACGTCACATGTTTAAGCAAATCATTTGTCCACGCGATGACGAAGTTGTGTAACCTGACACAGGAACTGTCACAGGTGTTAGTTATACAAGGGATGACATTATCCCTACTTAAATATACTTCTGTAAGATTATTTGTACAATTGATTTTCACTATATTAGATTAATCTGCTGACAAAATGTGACTTGACGGTTCTTACGCGGCAAGTCATACCCCTCTCCGGATGGACATAAATAAACAGTTCGGTGAAAGTAAAATGCTTCATCTCATTTACCCAATAATTAGAGTTGAGATCACACCCACCCAAAGCGTGTTAGAATTAAATTATAAAGTAGCGAACATTCAACACAATGTTACCAGTGAAGGTGTGCTGAAGGTTCAAAGTTCAAGTGAGATAATTAATCCGCTGCGAAGATAACGCATACTTATCAGCCCAAACGTTTTTTCGGAACACGGTGACCGACCGAACTATTAGGACATCGGTTTTTACCAATTAATACAATAGGTAGTACCGCTAAATACTAGGTTATGGATCGCAAAAACATTGCTGTTTTGTTTATGAAGTCGAGTTTTGGCGCATGCTTTAACTCTGCAATCGAAGTTTCGATCAAGAGCGACGCTTACACGAATTAAATAAAACAGAAACGGTACAACGCATCCAAAATATGTTGATGTTGTCGGTGATGCTTCTGCGGCGTTCATCAACATTTTTCGAGATGTCTAAAACAAGCGTGTGATCAGAATTTTCGAGTTAGAACATAGAAAAAATTTGTAGCAAATTTAGGTTGATCTACTAAAATTTACGATGTACTATAGCGCACGAAAAATTCATTCCCAGACAGGCAAACTCGGCGCCTATTTAGCATAACGAAAATATGCGGCGAGCGCAAAAATGTTCCACAGGTGTGCCGGCATGCCCTATCTGTTTGCAAAGACTAACTCAAATATTTTTGTTCTCGATTTTATAGCAGGGTGTTATGCGGTCACTGATCAGAAATTTTATATCGTATTTAGTTTAGTAGACTCGGTATTATCATGACTGAGATGTCTCAATTGGTCATTCCAACTTGGTTGAAATCAAACTGGTAAGATTTTCAACTATTGCCTAACTAGTTGTATTTGAAGCAATGAAAGTGACAAAGCGATGATCGTAAGTGCCGCACAGCGTGAGATATCTTTCGTCAAATTGGCGTGGAAAGACTAAGCACGTTGCCGAATTGGCTTGAATCGTATATCCGCCCGTAGCCTTGTCATCTATGACAACCATAACTGAGCATATTATAAGCGCCTGTAATACCGGAAACCAGATTTCTTGTGGCGACGACGCCGATGAGGCGAACGAGCGTAGTTATTGTAGGAGAGAAACTTCGTCGTCAGACCTTTTGTTGCCCGCTCGTGCGCCGGCAGCCTTTCAAGATACAGAGGTTTTAAACTTTTGAGCGGCCTTTCTTTTACGAACAAGGTATGCTTTGCAAATGTTGTAAAACGTAACGGCTTTTCTGGGAAATCGAGGGCAAATAACTGTTCAAACCATGGGTATGTCACACAAACTGTATATAATGACAGATACTTTATAGATATTTTTTGCAGAAATTAATGCCGAGTCATGGTATTTATATACGATAAACCCAAATAACAAACAAGGTATGGAGAGCATAAAAATACCATTAAATCTGGAATAATTTACATAGTTTTTTTCATAGCATATGATACATTGAACAAATCCATATAGGTTCACGACCCGCATTTTCACAATTCTTTCAATATCATAATATAAAGATTTAATAATGAAGTCCCGCCCTAAAACGCCGACAATGTGCCCGTGAAGTTAAATTGAGGTGAAATTTAATCTATACAACAGTCGCCCTGTCCAGACACACCGCGCAACGCCTTGCAACAGAAAAGAACGTTGCTTATTTACCTTCGGCAAATTGTCGACCCGGTGTCAAAACAATTTGTTAGAAATAATTGGTGTGTGAATTTCACTTGATAACAAATTGAATTATATTAAAACAAAGGAAGTCGTACGGTTTGTGAGAAAATCACACTTGGCCCTTACTCAAAGTGTGTTTAGTTTAAAATGAATGTTTGAGCAACACCGTATGTAAAGTTTGGGTCGCAAAACTATAGGATCAAAGTAAGCACACCGAAATCCGAATTCTCGCGTTTTTGCAATTTTGTATGTCGAATAAATTAAATCAATCCAAACTGCTGTCAAATCAACTGATTACAACTTGAAATTACACAAGAACAGCAGAATGCACTTTTGTGTCTCCAACAAAGAAGATTATTCGCATTTTTTGTTTCAGGAATCTAACACGTTGGAATTGTGTATTCAGCTCTGTCATTCATTTCATCTACTAACTTTATACGAAGCTTTGAATTTATCGACTTGGAAACGATAATTCAAATTTTTACTTCACAATCTTGAGTTTTTCTTATGGCTTTTGGTTTTTCCATGTCCCAGTGATATTCGTAAACTTTATTACGACATACGTTCACTATTTTTGCAACAGTGTCACGAGAAATTTATAACATCGATTCTGTCGTTAATATTTACACCACAGAGAAATGTAAATAGTATCGAAACATTCCACTCACCTTTTATGACATTTTCGGTGTTTTCTAAGTTCTTCAAAGTAATATGAAGAAGTGAGGCTGCCAATACAAGACGATCATCAACACGATTCAGAAAGAATATTTTTGTTTTGTCCTCTTTGACCTGGAATAAAAATTGAATTTGAATTGTTCACACAATCACACATTATTAGCACCTGACTGGACAAATTTTGTCTCGCAAGCAATGCCTGAAAAATCTCAGCGTCGATTACTTTTTTTGATGACATTTAATCACTATTGATCCTATATTTTTTTAATATCATTCAGTCAATAAAATAAAAGTTTTAAGCGAGGTTGACATGACACAAGTCAATATATGTTTATCACGTTCACGGCGTTCATTCATTTTTGCTACAGTCATATATTTTATAATGGGTAATATAAAGTTTTTGGCAGTCAAACATATATTTGTTAGAAATACTATTTTCAACATGATGTAGGAAATTATATAATAGGAATTACTTCAGAATCGCAAAACGCAGGATTCCCTAATCCAAATATTTCCACATATGATTTTGTATAAGTGGTTTTCATAATCTTCTCTTCGTGTATTTTCACAAGTTCTCCGGCAATTTTTCTTCCTTTCATAAATCGCCAAACCTGAAAAAAAGAAGGGCGATTATAACACGCTATATTATAGATCAGGAGTGGCCAACACGTCGATCGCTCAAATAACATGGCCCAGAAAATTTCCTTGAATCGGTTTCATGCTACGCCTGTTGTGTGTTTTAAAACATGAAGAATATAGTAGTGTACATGCGCAAATACGATATACACATGCAGTAATTAGGTACCTACAAGCCCGATGGAGCCTATTATTACGTAACAAGTGCACTACTGCCAAGTTTTAGAAATGAACTTGCAAAATATCAACTTTTTGAGGAATCGAAAGCACTTACGACTAAAAATTAGCCAGGCCCTAGATCTGAATTGTATGATTTGAATAAATTTAAAATAAACGATAAAACATTTACTCCTGGTACAAATATTTAATCAAATGAATAAATTGAATGGAATATAAAAAATGCAAATTTTTGTGGCAATTTCATTGAGAATGGGCCCGCAGAGCCGAGCTTATTGGCAGCGGTGGAATTTTTATATGCATGTGTGCGGTTATCTGCGTATTCAGTATTCATACATTTTTGTTCGTGACTTCATTACCGATCAGTCGATCGCGAGCTATTTTGAAGATTTTAGTCGATCGCGGTCGAAAGCAGGTTGGCCACTCCCGCTATAGATCATATAGATTATTTGCTTGTAATTATTTTGTTTTATAATTTATTAATTTATTAAAATAGATATAAGTTCCAGCGTATTTTAAAGAATATTCCGATCCACACAGGGTGAAACTGGTAGCATTGAGGAAGTTATTTGTCGTAGCGGATGAGAAACCCATTGGTAATATGTGGCCAATTTCAACAGCGTTTTATCAAATGTTTTGCATCGATGTCTGTTGCACTTTTTTAAGCTTCTACGTCGAGTATAGTTAGTTTTCTAGAACAATCTAAGTGAAGATAAAAATGTCCCAAAGATGAAAGTGGTGGACAATTGATTTTTGTAATAGGCGTTCTAACTAGATAACATTCTAAACTCAGCCACAATTTTCAAAATTTTGGGCATAAAATAGAAAATTGCAAGTAGAGAATCGTTCCAATTTTAATATGATCGCTAGAATGATTTGATTTTTTATGTAAACCGGCAAGATGAATATCGGACTCCGTTGTACCGTCGGAAATAACAGTCGTTTGTGATATTTAGAATTGATTGTGATTGCACCTTGTTTTTTACAATTACCCGACTTAAAACCTGTTTGACTGACAATTTTTTATTTTTCAATGTGGACGAGAATTGAGCATTGTGAAATACACCTGTTTAAGATTAGGAAATACTCACACCCAATTGTTCTTACTTGTAAACAAGTCAATTTTCGACGGGTGGTTTAAATCGAATCTCATTTGATTAGAAAATCGATTATAAGTAATTAGAATTTTATACACCAATATGTAACCAATTTATTTCTAAATAGCTGACATAATTTGAAGCGCATAATCCATCAATATCATATGTGATGAAAAATCAAATTTTCAAGATTATGTTGAAAATCTATTCAATATTCCAAGTTCAAATATATTCTACGCTACGTTAAAGTTTCTCCGATTTCGTTTATGCGAGCCACACTCATGTACATAAACTAAGCCTGGGTCACATATGGCCGTTATTATATTAATGATATATTGTGCGAATGTCTGTTTCTAAACAATTCAGTGTTTTTTAATTTTTTTTTCTGAAGTTTGCCTATTGTATGAGAAAGTTACTTTTCACTGAAGTACCAAAATACTGAATGTCGTAGTGTTATAAATACGTTCTTACTAAGTTTGCAGACAGATATGTTTAAATGTTGTGATTTTGCTTTTGAACAAACGGAATAACATATACAAACCAATTCAACTTACCTGTATACGGCAGTTATATTTATCTGGTCTCATTTTATCGCATTCTATTACGGTCCCAGTGAGTATTATAGACGTCGAACTATTCCTTTCAGTTATTGTTCCAGATATACATTGAATGTTATCGTTCATTCCCATCATAACGGATCTTTTTATTCTTCTTCCATCCGTAATATCAAACCAAAATAAAAGTCCCAGGCATATTACAAGAAATAACGATTTTGATGTATATCGATTACGCGACATTGTGAAACGTTTTTGAATTTCAATGGACATTTATAGTCTTTGTTGTTGAAGCGCTTCGAGGAACGTCGTGCTGCAATATTTCCCTTTTCGTCAGAATCAAAAATATTTTTGAAACTATCAAAACCTCCTCATCCGTGTGTTCTCGTCTGATTTGCGACTAAGAGTACTATTTAAAATCCTAATTAAGAATTTGCTAAAATATAAATTGTTATTATAATACACTTTTGATACAATGGAATTTTGACGGTCTTAAACGGGGTCGGATACGAAGGCGGTTATTAAAATTACAAAACGGCTGCAACAATCAAGCAGCCTGGGGCAAATCCTGAAAAAAATTACAAATTGCGCATTTAAAAAGCAATCAAGAAAATAACGTTGTTAGGTGTGCGGGTCGTCGATAGGTGATAAAAATTCAACAGGAAATTTACGAGGTAATAAACAATCTTACAAAACGGCCATAGAATTTTTATCTCCTGTAAATATAAATTTGACACTTCCAATGTATCCAATAGACGTTTATAACGTTAACTAGAATACGAAACTTAGCCCGGTATTTTAAATATAGTATGGCGTAGCTAACAGCACATATATGTATGCTACACAAACAATATAGTCAAAAAAAATTTTGTATTGCAAACATTACAAAATATAGGTAATACACGAGCATGGCCATATCTGCTGTATCGTAAACAAGCAACCATAAACAAACTGACAGAAGAAATTCAGTTTGTCATTTGTATTTAGCTGAAAACCCTGAATAACCGTGAGAACAAGGCAGACGGAGGTGAGTGGAGCGCAGAAATATTCGACACCACCCAAGGAGTTTAATGCAATTTGAAAACGAACTTCCCTATTGGGAATCCAAAATTTACACTATAAATGTAACATCACATAAAATCGTATGGCTTACACTATCCAAACTTGATAAACTCGTATAGTCGCTAAACTGCGAGGTTTATTCGTCACTTACATAAAAATTGGATTACTAGAAAATGCACTTAAGTGTGTATGTGATTTCTCAAAGTGTAGGAAAACATTGATTAAAACTTCAATTTATTTATCAGCTTCGCCGCCTCTTGGAATCTTTTGAAGTGTCGCTTTCGCCCACGTACCGTACTCAAGTTCGTCGGGATATAAGCACTTCAATCTTTCGAGGAACGAAAGGAGTATACATGTTGGTATTTGTCCTTGTTTTTCTTGAAAACTCCGACGTGCATTTAGCCCAACTTCATGGAGTTTACTTAGCCGGAATGTACTTGTGGTCACTAGAACTGACCAGTGTATATATTAATGACAATTGGAAAGAAATTTACCGTGAATATGTTGGTGAATATTTGACATGCAGCCAGGGTTTTTGCGCGATGAAGATTTTATTTCTCCGCATTTCAGTGAATTTAATAACACTTATCAGACGCACAGAATACGAAAAAAATCTCACGCTACAAATTTTTTAAGCGCATTTCCCTAAACAAAAATACGGTAATAAACAAAAGTAGTACAAGTAACATAACGCCTACAATATGCAACAATGCGAATAAGTAAAACTATCGCAAAACAATTCGCCTATGAAATCTCACCGAAAGTTTAATATCCAATAAAATCACATGCCTGATACACTCTTCCTTTCTTCGCACAGATAATTTCGCGGTAAAAATGATATTTTATTCTCCAAGCCCTAACAAACAGTATTTGAATAAGCTACATCGCCTCGCTCTATTCAGTGATAAGACCACGAAAACCACGAAACATCCATTATCATAGGTTTGACGTATATAAAATCTCGTGATTCAGTACTAAATGTCGCCAGTGAGAACACTCATTTTACCTACTTGTTTAGGATTAACTCTACATACGAGGCATGAAGTACATACCCTTCTTCTACTACCCCATTTTCATTCGAAATGAAATGCCCAAATAAAATTTCTAATAGCTATATAATCTCCACCGACCAAATACAACGCTATAATAGCCCGCGCCTATTAAACACATATCTTTATGTGCCACGTCTGACAGATTATTTAAATTGATTTATTCGTGCTTGAAGCTAATCTATCGCCAAAACGATATATTAAATTATTTGCTCAGGCCCAGAGTCGCTTATTTTTATCCGATTAATTACGTATATACATCGCTGTCGCAGGTGAGAAAAACCAACACCGAGCGTGGGATAACCGAGCTGACACAAAAGTTGAATTACGCTGCTCACATCAGCGTGAAATGACAACAACGTTGCCGTCAGCAGGCGATTGCGAATGAGCGACGATACGGAAAGAAAAAATGAAAATTCAATGGTAGTTTAAGACCGCACTCGAGCGCCCACAACCGATTGAATTTCTATCAATAGCGTGTATCTAAATTTCCATAGTTCGGGCAGCCAGTGCCATCTTTCAACAATTGTAATTACTAATTTTTTATTGATGAATTTATGGCAGGGTCAAAAATATTTTACTAATAGAAGTGAAAAAAAAATATGATTTACGGTTATCCCATTTTTGGATTAGATTGCTATAAATTCTATTTAACTTATGGCTATTATGAATATCGCTGATCAGAACCCCATCAACTGGATTTACAGAAATGTTATTAGAATCCTATTCGTGAGGTTTCTGTTTTCAATATAGTATGCATTAGAATTTTATTATAAAATGAAAATTCTTTATTGAACTTTCGGCGTAAAAATAGACCGATTTGAAGCAATGAGTGAACGATGATGTAACAATTGAAATTAATGCGACCGCTAAGACACTTCTTTTGCACAAACCGGTTTTGAGTGCTATTTGTCAGTTAGTAGTTGTGTTTAGGTATAAATCATGGATAAGATAATGGTAACATTCAATCAAAAGTTTCAGAGTCTCCGTAACGAATGACCCGCTTGGTGATGCTCTTGACTAACTGACTAATGAAGTGTTCTGACTTCTGAGAAACAGTCGTACATTCAAGTGTACTGTATAAGCATGCGACACTTTTCAGCGCCTCACATACTTTTGCAGGATTTCGCGATAGGGTAGGGTGACCATATTTCCAAACCCGAAAAGGAGGACACCTCGTTTGGTAGAACAAAATTTCACATGTGCCTGAGATATACATTATATATCTATATTATTATATATCTAGATAATTTAGGATTAAAAATATAAATAACAATAGACGAAGTAACGACAATGCAATAATGCATTCTCGTTTTGTCAACGAGCAACTGTAGCCGCAAGTACTACAGGGGTGTGACTCTTCTACGGCCCATGGGCCGTGGCCACGACGGCATAACGTACTGGGTCTACTGACATAATTTACAGCTAAAATCGAAATTCAACAAATTGCTAAAAACAAGATGAAATGACCTGAAGATAATCGCAGAACAACACGATTTTTACGTGATAAACAAGTATGCATTTAACCTAGAGATGTGGTTTTAAACTTTTGCGTGTCTGCCAAACCTCAAACGTCATTGTGCTAGCTCCAGTTGAGCCCCGTTCAACGGTTGAAATTACTGGATTAGGAGCGCAATTAGAACTTCACAATAGAGAAGCTACTTTTGTGAATGGTTATAGAAAATGATAATTGTGGTGTAACCTTAGATATCAATATGCAGCGTGGAAATAGTCATTGTTGTGTCACAATGATGCTGGTAGCAATAATCTTTTGTTGTATAAAAATTGCACTTTGAAGATCGGGAAGATGATACGACATCTCAAAAATGTTGTTAGCTCAGTCATTTCTTAAACTGCATTGGAATGTGGATTGAAAAGGCTTTTTTATAGACTTTTGCAGGAATTGACATAGTCTACCTTATGACCAAGCGTTATTTTGAGGCCGTCCAGTACGGATGATAATTTAGCAAAGCTCTAATGAAATATTTGTTGCCACAAATGTATTACTTAGTGAAACTAATAACGTCTTGAACCTATATCAATTTATATACACTTATTTCCTACATTTAACCTGTTCGTAAAACTGAGCTATAATTTTTTAGTAGATTAGAAATGAGGTGTTGAGGACGAAATAACTGGTTTGTCATAACAACCTAACTAAGGTATTTCTAACCTATTTTGTATTCGAGGTTTATCAAGGTTTTATTGACATATCAATGCATTGCTTACTTACTTTTACTTACTAAATTTTTTTAACCCATCAAAAAATGTTGAATATGTCGTGAATAAATTTTAAATATTTAATCTCTTGGAAAAAGGAGGACATTTTGACCTTTTAGAGCGTCCTCGGGGGACATAAAATTTTTACGAAAAAGGAGCACAAATCCTCCAGAAGGAGGACGTATGGTCACCCTATCAGATAGGGGTTGGGCTATTTTCTTTCCTTTTGCCTCATAAAGTTTCTCTGAGAATTGTTTAATCTTAATATCTGTCGTATTGATATGTATGAAATGCCTAATGGAATATCGGCATGTTCTGTTAGGTTGCGAGAGGCAATTTGTCTTAATAAGGTTGTTGGTGTCTGACTTCAACTAATTTCGAAGATATTGGAAAGTATGCAAAGTTCCGGAGTTAGATGCTGCATGTTTTGAACCGCCCTGCTTGGTACTTCCGACAAGATATGAGCGATCATAATCTATCGACTGATGGCCGCTGACAACCAAATAACCGGGTACCAATTGCTGCTAGAAGATATATATTATATGTACTGTCGTAGAAAAATAGCTAATAAAACAAAATCTGCAAATTCCATTATATTCACTTCAATTGTAATAGTGTAGGAAAAGATGAATGTATAATATTTTGTGTTAAGCCAATACAACAGAGGATGTTTCTTTGAAATCGTGACTGGCGTTCCTTAGTCCATCTTCGTTCAAGTCAGAATATTGTATTAAACTTTTGTGAGCCTAAGGTTGAAAATTTAGACATAAGATGGGAGTCGTAATCTAGATTTACAACTAAGACAGAATATTTCTTGCCAGCCTAGAAGATTTGGATGTCGAAATTTTGTTATGATGTAGTGTAGTAAATTGAGAGCTGGAGTCGAAATTGGAAAGTGGCCACAAAAGTTGGAACCAAATTTTTTTCTGAACTTGAGTCATATTGTGATAAAATAGACACCATTGGGGTGTAGTATGCAAATATTTCCGTTGATTTTGTTCAAATTCATACAATTTTGAAAACCTTTTAAAATATATATATATCATAGACTAGAACATCTCTAACAAAGGGTACGAAATTTCATGAATGACCTTGTGTTTCTGTTGTACCTTGTAACAAAAGTTGTTCTGAAGTACAAACTATTTGTCTATGCTAACCTTAATTCGATTCTCGAATGTGAAATTAAATAAAAACGTTCAGGATAGTTTGTGGCCACTAATACTGTCACTTTTAGATAAAGTCATCTACGATAAACATTCATAATTATGACTTCCTTGCTATTCTGCTGCGACAATGAAAAAATAATGACACGTCTATTTCAATGAATTTATAAAGAATGTATTTAGTATATATGCAATATTATATGAAAATTTGAAAATATTATTGATTGTTTTATGCTTTCTGCCGTAAGCATATCTGTTTTCATCGCAGGCAGAAGAAACAAAATGTATCCAGTTTCTGGCTTTCAGTTTCAGCTGTCATCAACTGACGATACAGACCCAAAAGGTTGAACCCCTGCCTCGAAAGCGCTGGCCATTCTTTTCACAGATCGAATTACTTTCTGTGGCGACGTAGATTTCTCTTCGTCAACAACACGCATTGCATCATCACCATGTTTTTGAGTACCTGCTTTTACTGATTGTTCGACAGAATTGTTATTATCCGTAGGCATTGACTCTGTGAGCGTGGATTCTTCCTGAATCACAATTTGTTCATTCACCTGTTTTTTGACAGCAATATCTTGTGCAATACCTTTCGTTAGTTGGCGACGAAGATGAGTAATTTCCCGCGCTTTTACGTCTCGCTCTTGTTCTGTGTCGTCTAGCCTCTGGTGCAGGTACGATATCTCTTGGTACTGAAAAAGCACAGCAGACAAATTTGAGAAGGGCGTAAACATGTGGACGATATTTCAAAGCTTATGGAGACTAATATATTGCCATATATATATGCCGGAAAAAAGAGTAAGTGGTTAGGAAATAAATTTACCCAAACTCCATCCAAGGATGCCTTGAGTGATTTCATGTGGTCCTGGTACAGCGATGTTATCTTATCTGTCAGTTCTGATTTCAGTGTTTCTTGTTGTGGATTCAAATTCGAAGGCGATTCACTGGTGTAGGAAGGTCCCATGCTTGGAGTTGACGGTATTCCACTATCAGGACTAAACACGGAGTAGAAAATATATACAAATGAGATAAAATGATTTGATATTGTAAACCTGGTGAGTACATAGGGATGTTTTTATTACATATCTTTGTATAATGTAAATTTTGCAAGGTACTAGCGAATTGTGTTTCTCATTCATACGAAAACTTTGAAAAATGTACCTGCTCCCTGGTAAAGAAGCTGATCGACGAACACCGCCGTTCATGTGAAAATGAACTTTTGATGCAGAAATTTTTGAATCAGCTTGGCTTCGAATACTTGCTGTTGATAAAGCTTGATATTTCCCTCCATATGCTCTGTATTCTTTCATGTTGCTTCTCTGGCGCTTTTCTTGCTGATGCACCAAGTTCTGTAAAAGATTCGAGTGTATGAAAACCAGTCTTAGGAAAATATATATATGAAATCTGAGAACTGGTTCTTACCATAAATTTTGGATACTTTTTTAGGGTTTCCATCACGTCTTCGCTTGACAATACATACAGTTCGGAGTAACCATACGAAACCACGTCGGCCGTTCGTCTTTTAGTCGACGCGTTGAATAAATCAATTTCTCCAAAAACGTCGCCTTCTCTGAGTGAATATATTACAGGATCCGTTTCCCTGTTACAGAAATATGTATTCAGTTTTTATTTTATAACGAGATTTTGGAACGGGTTTTGTTGTGAAGATGTCTTCAACAACAAATAGCTGGGACATGTTGGAATCTAAAATGCGACATATACCTTCATATAAACATTCTTCACCTTACGAGGCAGTTGCGTTATCAAAGCAGCCTCAAATAGTGGTAAAAATTTGAAATTTATTAAAATGAAAAAGTATCAACCTGACAACTTGTAATATCCCTTCGCCGACAATATACATCTCAGTGCCAACCTCCCCACATTTATAAACAAATTGTCCAGGTAAGTACATGCATCTCTTCAGCCTCATCACCAGATCTCGAAGGATGTTAGAATCGCATCGCGCCAAACTAGGAATCTAAAGTGAAAACGTATCAATAGGCAATCGCATTTTTAACTTCATATAAATCTGAAATTCACTTAATATTATACAAATTAATAGAATATTACAGGTAATCAAACTATAAATGTTGAGTTAATTTGTCTCACACTCTCGCAATTTCAAGGCATTGGCCCAAAAATATTTTGCAAATACTTGGTAAAATTCTCGATACTAATTAAATGTATAATATATTACAAAACAGTGTGGGGCCGAGAGCGTTTTCATATCTCAATATAGTTTTACCAAACACAGTATTTGGAATATCAATAAGACATGACTGCTGAAAATAAATCCCTGTTTACAGTAATTTTTATTGGTTTGAGGTCATATATAGTTACAGGCTATGGATTTTAGAGGAATTAATAGTATCATTACTCCAAAATTGAATGACTGTTTTCAATTGCACATCGGTAAAACTCAAATTATTAAATATATTATTGTATTTCCAGTAATTTGTTCATGTCTATCGGAAGAGTTTGCTGTTTCTTTATGATTTATTGGTTGATATTTTCAAGCGTTTTCTCGACAGTTTGTTGACATTTTTTAAGGGTCATTTAAGTAATATTGTCATTGCAGGATGTTCATCAGACGCCTAAACAAAACTCGTCGTAACCACAAACGTTTTGTTTACTTATCGTAAACCATTTTAAGATCTGGATTTTCTGGGTGACTTAAATTACAGATTTTCGACGGTAGCGGCCAAAAACAATGTGATGCTATTTCGCTAGTTTCTTATGGCTGGTCTATTTGAACCTTGTGATTAATTTATGACGTAATTTTTGTATTTTCCTAAGTCGCGAAACTTTATTTTGATATATAATCATGGACTATTTAAAAATCGAACATACAAACCATACAAGGTGATATTTCAATAAATTTATAGTTGCAATAACGATACAAAAAATGTCGCAGGCTGTTAATTGAACTACTGCTATCATATATTTCTGTTACGTTTGACACTGAAATTTGTTATAATCGAGTGGCTTTGTCTGCTGTTTTATCAATATATAATGCGATTATATCTTAGGAGACACAGCTCACTGTAAATATTATGTTTTAAACATAATTATCAATATGACGCAAATGTAAATTGACTTTTGGCATTATTTGTATACTATTGTAGGTGGTCGATAAGTACAATAACGCAGGACATTCCATGCGGGATTAATATAATATTTGAAAAAATTTGCATACAAAGGAAAGAATATATATAAAAACTTATTAAAATTTTAAAAATTGTTTATATGTTATGGTGCGACGTCTATGTGCGATGCGATGTCTAGTGGAGATCTTCGAAGTATGATATAGAAACTTTTAACATATAAATTGCCGACTTTCAGACCCCATAAAAATTGCATCATTAAGCGCAGCCCCACCTATTTCAATTAGTGTATTGGAACAGCTGCCTTAGAACACCTATTAGGGGTTATTGACCTGTCTGATTTTTTCTCAAATAATATTTTTATACCCGAATACGTTTGGGGCAAATAATTTATTCTGACATATTTGTGTTGATTTTGTAAATACGATACACGTTTCCTAAATATCAAAGGGGTGAACTTGACCTCAGCTGAACCGATAATGCGCCACAAAACGTCATACTGTGGTGTAGTACTTTTTATGATGGTTTCGCAAAGCCGAAACACGAGAAACCATAAATTGCAGTACGGTAGTGCGTAAATCATCTCGATAATAAATATGATTTTCTTTTACTTATCTATCACTGATTATTTACTTTATATTATTTCTGGGAAATTACTTCAGGATCAATGTAAATAAATCTAAATTTTACGTAATATCTTGACATTGCGGGGGAGACAATATGAGAAAAGTCTCACTGTTTTGGGGTTGCCAAGGAATTAAATACTGATAGATTACCCTTTAGGTCACGTTTGTAACTTTCAAAACAAAAGGTCACAATACCTGTTTCAAAGCTGTTAGGTTGGAATGTAATTCTATTTCCTGACGAACGGACACCGGAAGATATCGTAGCATATTTCCCTCGTCCAAATGCGGAAATTGTTGACTGAAACAAAAATAAATAAAAAGTAATGTATATATTATTAAATACAGCATAAAGTTGTAAACGGAATTTCGACCTGTGTTTGTGTATAAATCGGCATATGAAACACTACATTAAAACTGCTCAGTATGAAGTATTATAATCGAAGTTAGTTTTAACAAGGATACAGAATGAATTTGATTATTTTTAGATTTGATGATGTTTCAAAACAAATGAAGTTTCAAAACTACGAACTATCGCTTTGATACCGTAAATTGTCATGAAAATCCAAAATAGTGTACATGCAATTTTTGTACAACACTAAATACCAAGCCATATATATTAGAAACTTTTAAGAACACAATAGCTGTTTCTATTAACTGGAATTGCAATTTAAACACCAATCACCGAATTCCATAAGACTTGTTTATATTGTATTGTATTATTTTGTATTATTTGCTGTTTATTTTCGGTACTTACTTCACCCATGAATACTGATAAAAACGTAGAACTCTAGTTTGCAATTCCCTGGGAAGTTTTCGTTGTTTCATATATTCTCTTGTGTCCAGCATTATCTTTTCAAACTCAAACTTTGGAGAAGTTTTTCCGAATAACAGTACGGTAATAAAACCTTTGAAACAAACAGAACATTATAAATGTGAAATGAATAATAACTGAAATTAAATTAAGAGTATACAGTCTTGAAATGAAATGTAAAAGTGCTGTAATGAATTGTTTTATGACTCGTGTCAACCGCTAACTTTTCATGTCGATACTATTCTATTATTACAATGTCAATTTTAATTGAGTGGGCAAATAAAGGATCATTTTTTTATGTAATCATTTTATATACAATTAAAATCAATTTATAAGTCAGTTTTAATGTTGATTCATTTTTATATTAAATACTTAATTATGAATAGTAATACCCAGATAAACTTACTGAAAACGTACCTGAACCTATAAAAGCAAAGTTACCCCTGCTTTAAAAGTAATGGGGCTAACTAATGATGAAATACCACAAAATTAGCAATGACGAAAGACACCTCTAGCAAAGTGTGTTGAACACATGCGTTTCAAGGAATATGCGAAGCATGTATTACATCATGTGGTTCAGGGGAATGGTTATGCTTCAGTGAAACGTTGATATAACATGATTTATCTTATTTGTAAAGTAATGTGGCTTGAATCTGCAAACATATTGATTACAGTTTCTTGTTATTTCCCAATATGATGCAAAGCAAGAGTAAAAACAATTGTTTCATAGCTGGTACTATGTTTAGCTATTTAAATTATTCGCTTCAGGATAGGATTTATGTACCATATTGGTATAGTGCCAAAGCTACTATAGTCTATATATGTATTCATTTTATCCATTATATTTTCGCAGTGAATGGTGATTAGTTAAAATTTCATTATTGATAGAGTTTCAACAGACAATATTTGAAGATGTAGCATATTTTGTTTGTTCCTTTTAAACGCATATACTTACCAATAAAGATTGCCAAAAAAAGCATTCCCAACAGATGTAAGTAGATTGAAAATACGAATCTGTAAAATAAATGAAGGTGTTAAGTTTTAATATTGCATATTGTTTATGAAATAAGATTTACCATTACCCCACACCAAAACTAATATGTATTTATAGGTTTATTTTCATGCAAAAAATGGAGAAATAGTTGTTCATATAACAGTTTGATCCCTGCGAATTCTAGCATTCAAAACAGGTTTTTATCTTGACACAGTGTATTGGTCAGAGTGCAATTCTTTTGCATTATCATTTTATTCTTGAAAAACTTGGCACATTACAAAATTTTGAGATCCGGATATACTTACTGCCAATTGGTTTCCGGAAAGTATCGATCGTTTACAATTCCAAGCCCAACCATACACCAATAGAAAGAATATGTATATTTGCGATACATTGTGGCATATTCTGGAAAGTACGTTGGGTCAGGGTACGGCCAACTTGTCAGTGTGGTACCTGTGTAAATAAAATTGTAATGTACTGAATCAACGCCAATCACAAAAGAAAAACAACGAATGTTGATAACATATTTGTGTGCTTTACAGTTGTACAGTGTCGCCCAAACTTACTCGACGTTTAGAGCGAAATGGAATGGAAAGGTGGTTCACAACAGTATAATATTTCTTTTCAAATGAGTATTTGTCATCCAGGAACGCATCCTCGAGATTTTTTTCTGTGTGTGACTCATACCATACAAATACATAGTTGTAATGAAATGAATGACTTGAAAAGAGAATTGTTCGTCGATTTGATTACAGTACAATCGTAATTTTATTCGAAATGATCATTAGAAACCAATAAGAAATTTAACATTAAGAGAACTCAATAAATAAAGGGGAGAGACATAATTAATTCAAAGAAAGGAAACTGGCGTATTGTAAATTGTAATCTGATTATTGGATTTAAAATACTTTTTCCGGTTGTGTCGTTACAATATTTTGTTTCTCTTTCTTACTTTCTCAACTGCGGATCACGTAAATTTGAACTCCGGTGACCACTTTAACCAGAGCGCCATTTTTTTCTACGACCTTTAAAATATTTTCTATATTTCTAAAGCTATCAAGGCCACATCCTATTACGAATCATATGCTTAAAAATACTAACAAATACTCACCAAACCCATTTGATTCCGACAATGCGTAATAAAAGCAGGCATTGTAATGAATAACCACAAGAAATACGTGGAATAAATTGAGTGTTCTCCATAAGTTTGGCATCCACGTGCTCAACTCCCCACATTGATAAAAAGTGAACTGTAAAATTATGAATACTTTATCACAAAATATGGATATAATAAAATACCGTCGCTTAAAAAAATATAAAGAAAATTTTTATTTTTAAACTATTTCAAAAACCAAATACTTACTACTCTATATATTTTAAATAGTCGATTCAGACGAAAGTATGGATTTATGCTGTGAATGAATAATAAATCTGTAGGAAGTATTGCAAGAATATCAAGAAAAAGTGTCCATTCTTTACGATGATGACGATTCAATTGCTGCAAATCTGAAAATAAAAAATAGGAGTCAAAATAGAATTCGTCATGTTCATAGGATTTAGTCTGCTTGATTTAATCAGATCAAAAGCGAGTATAAATAAAAAGATCTTCATATTTTCAAACAAAAATTATTCTAAGAATTTACAATCAAATGAAAACAAGAATTAGTTTACCAGATACAAAAACTCCGCTTTTTATATAACATGTTCGGAACTTGATGAAAATATCAACAACAAAAATAAGATCACACAGTGCATCAAATGTAAACCAGATATCTTTCCATGATGATTGTATTTCTGAAAATAAGAAAAGGCATTTAATTCATTTTTGTAAAACGTAAAGCATAGGAGTGTTTGTTTGAAAATTAAAATATTAATTTCTACATGGCAAACCCTAATATTAGCAAATAGTTTTGGTTAATAAATAGAAATTATGAGAAATAATCATTTGTAAAAAATACTCGTCCAGATAAATTTTCAGGTATAGCAAAAGCTTTTTCAACTATATATTCTATATGTATCAACTATATGTTGATAATAATTAATATTCGTATTATGATATACAAACTATAGCAATAAAACTTCGAAACGTTCCTCGATATAATTATGCACACATTGGAAAATTTCTTAAAAATTCTTTCATTTTTTTACAATCACAAATTTGAATGCGTCGTATTGCTATAATATAAACAACAATAAAATCAACAATAACAAAATTTAGCGAAACGATCCACATTGTGTCCAATATTTTCTGAATTACATTGAAACAAAACGATTATTCCAACATTTTAAAAACTGAAATATTTTAAATAATTTTTTCTATTTTCAAATTCTCTTGTTTCTTAAAAATATTTTATTAATAGGATATATAAGGCATCTGTTGACCTCCACTCTCTTTGAAGTCACGCGCCATCCATTGTTAGCAAGATATGAATATGGCACAAAACATGTCTTCGCATTGATATTACGTAAGGTGAGAACCCTGAGAAAGTGCCTTAACATCCCGCTCCCGTAAAAGAATTCACCGAGGGTGGTGAAGAGTGGGGCAGTTCTGAGTCATTTATTTTCGTTTCATACGATAGATTTAGTTAGTTCATACAGAAATTGCAAAATCACCCTATCATACTATGTAAAACCTTGAACAAATAAACACACTTTGCTGGGTAAATGTAAACACTTAATCGGTATAGTATGTGATGATTTGGCCAAATGTGGATAAAAGATGTAGCAGCCTATATACACTAGATCATACAAGGGGATTGGCATCATATTGATTTCATTTGATGTTACAACAGTTTTGAATTACCGTGAATTTATACTATATGTATCAATATATCTTTACTATGTTCCTTAGTTACGGAGCGACACGTGCGTTGTATAAACAAATTTAAAATGGGCGTGATGAGCTTTTTTTCATTCCGTTGTTAGGGCGCGTGCGCGCGATGTCAAAGATTTTGGGGTCAAAAAGACATGTAGTTGAAAACATGAAATGTACCTTTAACATTACTTCTATAAAGCAGCCACTTCCCTTCAGTGGAAAACTGGGCAATTCATGGTCTGTTACATAACGGACGGAATTGGACATTTTATATAATCGATGATAAATTTAGAAAATGACAAGTGGAGTTTTTGCTGATTTTTTAAAAATTCACGTCATTGTTTAATACCTTAATGCAATAGATTCGTTGTGAAGAAGTAATAAATCAATTAGATTTTGTTCGTTTGCCCCGTATTAATAAACTGCTTAAAAGTTGGATATTAACTGGACTATCGCAGTTTAAATTAATTTTGCAAATTTGAATTTTATTAATTTTATTTAATAGACAAAAACCGAAAAAGTTTCTTACAATCTAATTTGTAAGCAAATTTCAAACGTGACAGAAGACAATAAAATTTATTAATTTCGTGAAAAGTCGAAATGGAATTCTATTTTTATCTCGTTCTAGAGATTGTGGAATAAAGTAGAAAACATTACATTCAATGTCTAGCCAAGTCAAAAAACTACAAATTTATATTGATTCAAAAATGTTCTTGTTTACTAACTATAATCGTGACGGGAAAAATCTCTAAATATATTTATTTGGGTTAAATATATATAAATAAATAGCAACCCATAGTACAGCCACAAAAAAATAATTTGCAGAATAGTTCAAATTAACCTCGTGCCTTCATTTTATTACTGCAATATTGCAGTAAAATTATAGTGAAAATTTTACAAGCTATTCCACTATTCGCAGCATTTATATAAACAATTAGTTGCAGCATTTCGCAAATTAGTTTTATAAATTTACTCCAAATCGTGACTGCAGCAGGTTAATAGTTAATGACATTTATAATACTGGGGACATAAGACACAATTTTTCTATTTTTTTGCAAGGATTTTCCCAACAATCTTGTATTCAGATCAGAAAACTGTTAGAATACAATAAGCAAAAAAATATCGCAAATTAAACAATAGGTCAAAGTATATATAGACAATATTAATCAATGTCTTAGATGACCGCCAGTCTTGCAAGCCCATTTGAATGGGTTTCGGCCTAACAAAACAAACTTTTTAATTGATAACCTAAAAACAATCCTCCATATCATTTGTAGTCTACTGGTTAAAGTTAGAAGCCACAAGTTTTGCAGTAGAAACGAATTGACTTGCCGAACGCAAAAAAAATTAAGATGCATCATCCCCGATCACGTATAAGCTCATCTTGAAGAAATTTAGCGTTTGCTAAACAAAATTGAATTATTAATACTCAATGTAGAAAATGTCACATGATTTGTACCTGATAAATAAGTTGCTCGTAGTGGTATAGTCCAGATATTATATAAGAATGCTGTTGTAACAACGCATAGCCATAAGAATATTCCGTTAGAATCTGGTTTGTATGTTCGCCTCCACCAGGTAGCTAGTTTCCCTTTAGCAGCTTCGGTAAAAGTTGTGTCATTGTCTTCATTGCAGCAGCAAAAACCCGATCGCAAAAATATTTTGGACGCTGTTGGCATCGGAGAATCATCCGAATCAGCGGTTTCGGGTGAAGTATCATAGTCCGTGTCTTCATCTTCGTTTTCTGATTCCTCAATTGTAATAGGAATCGGACGTCCAGCCGAGTTTACCGAATATATTGGGGCTTCATAAGACCGTCGTTTGCTTCCACGTACACTATTGTAATCTTCGTCTTCTCTGGATGGGATATATGCGGGATTCGAGTAGTGTGTCGTGTTATATTCATTTGATTTTATAGAAGCTGTTTTGTGTTCTGATAAAGGTGTGACCTTGTCCCTATGATCTGGAAATGCTTTCATGGCTATTTCATCACTTCGATTCCGAGAAAATGCTTTCCTCACAGGGCTCGGACCCCCTCGTTCATTCTCATCGTTTTGTGGAGAAACTTTTCCACCAGGTGGAGTTGAATTTTGAGTTCTAAAAACCTTCCATACTTTACGTGAAAATGAGCGGTCTGAGTCTCTACCAGATTTTCTGGGTGACTTATGACCCTGACTATCTTTATCAAAAGAAGCAGAAGCTCTCTTGCCAACATTTAAATGAGAATTTCTTTCAAGTTCGTCCTCATCTGAATGCAAAGAAAGTACATCCCAATCCCCGGCGTTGGGCTGAGTTGCCGCGTTTTCGCTGCGGCTGCTGAGCGACATAACGTTGCGTGACTTGTCCGTACTCGAAGTTCGTTCGATCTTCCTGCGGTTGATGCAAATCACTAAGTACAAGTCTACATGGATGCAGAAAAATCACTGAAAACGCCGCCAATGTTGTGAAAACAAAATTAGGATAAGTTAAATATACATTGCGAGATATCGCTATAACACACACTGGTACGGTACGCTTGGAACATATATTGCCAAATCCTAACTTACTCAATTTTAGTATTGTATTGTAAAATTCATTTTGACTTACTGAGATTATAAATATACAATAAAATAAGGACATATTGAAAGTATGAAACGCTAGCACGAAATATTATCATCAATAATATGCATATGACATCCCCCACATAAAATTCTTTTGATATTTCACAAAAAATGTGATTGAAAGCATTGAAAATTTGGATGAAAAACCTCAACATTTTTATAGTCGTTTAGAAGTTGCCAAATACTACTAAATAAAATTTTGTTGGCTTGACTTATCAACTTATATTGAAATTTGCGTGAACCGTGACTGACTAATCTAAAATTAGGACTAGACATAAAGTTGTAATTGCCCACGCTTGCCTTTTTCACCCTAAAATTCTCGCACCTCTTTTACACACGGCGGATCTTTTACTGTTTAGTAAATAACAGATAATGTCGTCACTAACCAGAAATTATCAATGAAACACAAAAGAGGATGTGCTGAAGCAAAAACATCCATTTCTCTATTTTGTTTACCTCATTCATTTCCGATTCAAAATTATTTCAAACTACAAAGTGATAACGTATTTCTCGCCATATATAATAAAGATTAATCGTGCGTCATACGTCAATGCGGTTAGATTTATGTTAGAACTTTCCAACCAACTGATAAACTAAGCGACAACGCATACCATATCCTTTACACCTGATGCCCACATTGTAAATTAGAGAATCTGGAAAGTAACAAATATCTACCAAACTACCCTTTACTCATTCATAGTAATTGTACATACGACAAATGAATTGCCAGTAGAACAACAGCAATCCTGACTAATTTTTTAAAAAAATTAAAATTAATTTTTCCAATTTTTACTGTATTGAAGACCTTTTTCGTTTATTTACACAAAATCTCTTCTAATAAAATACAATTATATCAATTTCATTACAGAATGAAAAAGCATATGCGAACTTGAAGAAGACTAAATTGAGTGACGTGCATACGGCACGCGTGCCGGAACAATCCAACAACATATTTTTTCATGAAAACATATTTCTCCAATGACAATCCGATTGAATGAAAACTCGCATCATAACCCTTTTCAAGCGCTTTGCGTCATCTGGTCATTTTACCACAAACATTACTCATAAAATTTGTCTTTGTTTATACCAAGTAACAAATGGGTAAACAATACTCGGGGCCAAAGAAATAATAAGAAATTTGCGCAATTGGTGAATGCGTTTTTCTTGACGAGTCTTTCAAAAAAATACTTGAATTTATCAAAATTATACTGTCATTACATTAACACCTTGATACAACGTCATTTCATATCAATATGATATTTCAACGGGACGGATTGATATTTTGTATATATATATATCACAAAGAAACATAATGCCATTTCACAAATGTACACATAAAATACAGTTATCACTCAACTTTGCCTAACAGTACGTTTGTGACGCTTATTTGGACAGATGCGCATGTAGGAGACGTCTAGTTCTATTCATACATATTCGGTTGCCATCGCCAAACGACTGATAGTTGTGTACGCGAAATTGAAACGAAGTATCGGGCATATCCACTGAATAAACTTACATGAGTCGCCATTGTCTTTCTTTCAATCATGTATCACAGTAATTGTTTTTCATTTTAAGTGACAATATCCTCCCTATTGTTCTTTAAAATAACTAACAAGACCTGCCACGTTATAGGCCACCACCTCTACACACAATCACCATACGAACATTACCTCATGTTTTGAAAACTTCTATCCTTTCCCAAAAGAAGATTGACAGACTAACATCGACCAAAACTATTTCATTATTTAGGAGCAGATGTTCAATCACCGCTCAACTGTAAAGCCTGGGTGGCCCAGTTTGAAAATTGAATTGAGACAATACCGGAATGATTAGCATAAGAAGGCAATATCGACTAATTATGTACAGTCTATATTTTGACTAAAAAATATAAATATACTGTGCAAGGCACTATCACATTGAAAAATCTCAGTATATATATTATTTTCTGCTTTTATTTCATACAAAAAATATATTCAATTTTAATTCACGAATATAAAAATATTATTTCGTCGCTGTGGCTCCGAAGCCACCAATAAAATTTATTGTTACTTCGAAAATTACGGGTTGCGGTTTATTATAAATAAAATGAAATATATAATTTTGGGTTACAAGGTGGTAATAATTACTTTTCCCTACAATTTCATACTTCAATATTCCTATGTCTTTAATCCGTTTAAACGATATTTTCAATATAACATTGGATTAATAGTTGACCACCATGGGATCACAAAATTTCACGATATATTGCATGAGAGCATCTATCATTTCATGAGAGTATCTATAGTAGAAAACTTGCAGCAGTCGTTGTAAATGGTGAATATTTTTCAAATGTGAGGTGTGAAATTCATAAGTATGAATCGAAATGAGCAGAATGTCTGTACAGTTCTGTAAAATTGCTCATTTACTAAATATAGCTAGCTTGCAAGCCATTAAAATGTTCGCTTTTTGTTTATACACGAATTCCATTACTTGTAATGTTTAAATGATTATATATGATAAAGATACAATAATGAAAACCAAGAACATGAGATTAGAAAACTTTCCTGGTTATATACTCGGAACTAATCCAATTGTTACTAGCTTGTCTTCGTCGTGTCAAATATTACATTATAAATCACCATTATTAAAGCAAGGAGGCGGAAACGAACGCACGAGGGCCAAACTACTTTGGACCATACATTAACAATAAGTAAAAATTTTACTTCGAAGGTCTGTATTGCATTCCGAAAATAAAGGCTAAACATTCAAAAAATTACTACAGTGATTACTTGAAAATTGCTATATAATGCAAGAAGTGAAACAATTAGCAATTTGGCAATAGTTTCAACCGCGCAATAATGAAATTGTGGTAGAATTCAACTTGCATAATCCTATATTGTTTGCCGGTAGATGATGTTACAGATACATAAAAATATGCTTCTAACACATGATGAATGGAAAGATAATTCATGAATGAAAATAACCGCATATTTGAGTTAGGGTTATTTACCTGAACTGTCCAAAATTAAGAATAATCATATTCTTTGTAACAATCACAACAAATCGAAATACCGTATAAAATACGTTACTATATCATCAATAGTAAATTGTATTGTATGAAATGTTAAAGGCATTGCATTTTCAAAACAACAACTTACAAAGATTTTGATTATTCTATCCTTCTTTCTCAGTGTTATACCATTCAAGCACTATGATCGAGATTCCTAAATATAGTTTCCCATCCCGCATCGACCGAATTTTCACCGTAGAAAAAAAACGCCTTAACGTCCAACTCTAACTTATATATTGATAATTATGTTTCTAATCTGTTCCTGTTATTAATGAGCCGAAACGAAAGTTGAACACCCAAAATACCCTTCGCTCGAGCGGAACATATTTTTACTTGATCATGTTTTGGAATGTTGGTAAGCATTCTACATAGGTTGTATATTTGTTTACAGGTGAGGATATAGCCAGGTGTGGTAGGCTATCCGTGTTGTTTTTAGAATTAGCTACCAAAGCTAAAGTAAGTCAACGACAGACTTAGAATTTTTTAGTATTCTGACAATGCTGCTCGAAATGGCACGCGTAAAAATACGATAGTACATCATGAACTAAAATATCAGATAATTTTATGAGGTATTTATATTCTTGGTTGTAAATAGTAATATATACCCGAAGCCTTTTTAAAGTAAAATAGTTTTTGCAACTTTATCCAATCGTCTCAACCTTTCATAGTCTTGTTTATAAACTGTACCAACTTTTTAATCTTAGTCTTGAGGCGCCATTGAACCCGAACATTTCTGCTGCATTACTCGGAAGCGGATATTAATAAACTAATACTCAGTCTCAGCACAGAAAAAGCAAAATTTTTGCTCTTCGGCCAAACCGATTTTGCTCGAAATCACGAAATTGAAACGCTCGTGCCAAGTCTCATTCCTATGACCTAACGGCGTGGCGCCGTTGCTGAACACCACGACCAGATTGGAACGTCTGATTTTTATATGAAAGTTAAAATGGCGCGGACAATACAGGATATATTAAAATTTTCTATTTGTATGCAAGTGTGACACAAAAACCAAAAATACAGTTACTTTCAGTTTGGAACAGGGTGTCTACCGAGTATATTTCAGCATTTCAGAACGCGTGCGCCATACCAACTGTATGCAAGACAGTGTGGAATAACTACAACAAAACATATGTGGGCCATGCAAAGCCTTCCTAGATTCGTCAGTAAACTTAAACCACAATGATAAAAATATGAAGTTTTGTATATTAAATTCACATATTTTTGAATAGTATAATCAGGCAATCAATCAAAACGAAAGAGTGGGCATGGAACGGAACATTTCTCCAATGAATGCTTTGTTGTTTGAAAACAATTTAGCATCTTATTACTTGTCAATCGAAGCTTGTCTGCAGTCTGGGCTATTTTTGGTTCGGCAAGCATCAGCGGCTCAACGTTGGCACCGTTTGCCAAATGCATATTCAAAGGACAGATTAGTTCCTTTTCGACAGTCACTTTACGCTATTTCCTGAAATAAGTATTGGTTTTCATGACACATTGCCATGTGTCCGGAACACCAACTACGTCAATAATACTAAACCTCTGTACTGGCCGATTGATCTTTTTTGATCCTTTTAAACTTCGGGCCGATTTACGAATTGCATCATTTTTGCAAGTTCTCAATGATTACTCATGTGGTTTCTCAGTTGTATCGATTAGTTGTTATCTTCAATTGAGTGCTTCATATCTAGATCAAAACGTGACCAATTTTTAACTTATTCCTTTTAGAATTTCATACATGTTTGTACAAATCATTTTTAATGATAACTTACCGTCTACTATAGTGAATCATTACACATTCAAATCGAAACTAAGTATTTCGAATTTCATGCCACGCAGCTAAAATACTCATCAACGCTTAGTTTCTTCAACAAAACCTATTCGATATATATATTTCGTTGGGATGGTAATATGAGTATATTGTGTATTTAGAATAGTATTTTGACACCAAAACTTGTTGATATTTGCATCCGATTAAATCTTCGTGACATTTAGTTTTTGAGTGACGCAATGCTTGAATTGCAATTTACAAACGTATAACATTACCGGCATTACGTGGTAGGAATATATTTTCAGTCATCTTGTAAAATGGAGAACTTGACAACTTCATGATTGGCAATTACTTTTTTACATGGTGCCATACAATATTATTATTCAAGGATAGTGTGGTCACCGCTTGGCCTATTGTTTGAATGATATCGTCTAAAATTTATTTTATACTCCGTAAGAGTAAATCGTTTCAACTCAATTCTGGGGTTAAATAGTTGTACAAGAAACTCAGAAGTGCAAACGTAAATAATTCATGATTACGATTCATACGTATTTTCACTAAATGAAAACGTACAATGTGTGAGTGACCCAGTATGGATGAATTGATTTTTTCATGTATTAAAACAAGCAAAGTGTAAGTCAAACGGTTAATTATAGCAGCAGTTTTAACGACAGTTTATCTTGCATTGTTGATTTAATCTTCTTGACTTTGTTTTTGCAATAACACTGCGTTTCCGTTTTACCTCGCATACAGAAGATAATTTTGAGTCAACAGAAGTAAAAATATCTCGAAAAGTCGGATTTTCTTCGTCTTTTTTGTGTCTTTTAAAGTTTTACTATATTCAGCATATTTTCAGGCATTTCCGGTATATTCGTAAATAATAATAGATATTCAATTATTTTAATTCCTTAGTCTTAAAGAAACCAATTGGGATGAAACCATATGTTTCGACTCGTTTTAAATATTTACAAGCAAGGTAACTATAAAATGTTTTTCCGTATTCCTTGAACCACCCGATATTTTGCTCGAGTCCCTTCTTCATGTGGTACATCCTTGCCCGTTTGACGTTTCACGATGCCCGCTAGTTCAGTCACATAATTTGTCTGTGACGTTCCTTCTGGTGAAATGAAATGACACTGGCTGCTGGCGAAATGCCCACTAATAGCCTAAAATGGAGTATTCATAAATAAATGTATACGATAATTTGATAATTTGTATGTCGCACGAATACATACATATGAGTGAATTAAACGATAGGTTTAATCGAAGTTACATAACTGTTAATATCTATCAATAAACAACTATTGAAAATTCAGAGAGGAACGTTAGGAAATACCTGCGTTCTTCATTTGAAACTATATAACGAATTAGGGTAATTCCAAATCTCTTACATGAATACAATTTCTCATTGATTTATTCAAATTGCATTTGTTATTAATAAGTTTCAAACCCATTTTATGAAGATAAGACTCACCTTTCTAAATCCATCACTGACATTCGTTCCTGAACCATGAACGAGTAATGGATGAAAGAATACGGTATCACCTTCATCCATCACTAGATGGTGTCTGGGAGCATTTTCGTCGTAGTCGTCTACTCCATAATACATCTTATTCACACCACCCTAAAACGTTAGATTGAATTAGTACTAGATTATATTTGCTTTAGCTAAATAAAGAATCCATTTACATAAATAATCGCATGAGCATTTAGAGTAGCTAACTGAACAGTATTATAAACCTTCCAGTCGGGATATTTATGCTCTTTCAACGGTTGCTTGTGTGTTCCTGGCAGTACAACAAGGCATCCATTACTTCTGTCAATTTTCTGCATTGCAGTCCATGCAGCAGCAATCCGATCTTCAGGTCGCAGTAGAAAGTAATGGAGGTCTTGATGAAGCGGGTGCCGAGATGTCTTCTTACCTTAGCACGATGAAAAAAGTTTTTCATTTTTCTATAACATCTTTTATTTTTTGCGATTTTAAACAGGCCATACAAACTGGGTGAAAAATTTATTGCGTTGAAATTAACATATTACAAACCACAGGTGTACGGGCATTATTACTTACCGTTACTAGGTGACTGACCCCATGTAAATGTACAGCACTCATTGATTAGCAAAGTTTGGTTGAAACAATGAGCCCCAGATAAAATATAAGAATTACGGCTTTCTAGAATCTAGAAGACACTTTCTTCTATTACTGCTGAAAAAGTTATTGGTTTAGTAGCGGACACTAATTGCAAAAGTAATCTGTTTTCTTCTTCAACAACAACCACATGGGTATCAATAGCTTACTTAGCAAAATGATCCATATGTCTCATTGCGTTCAATATGGATGCAAATAATATCCCCTATTATCATCCCTTATGGACTATCATTTACATTACATTGAAAAGGCGGTAGATCGTGCATAATTGCAGATGAACACGGCAGTAGCGTCATGGCAAGAAAGCAAACAAAGCCTATAGCATAATTATTATCATTAGGCCAACATCACAAATATGTTTACGTTATATTGCACACAATAATAGTGAACGAGAAAAGGTCAAGAAACATTTATTAAGAGCAAACTCAAATCAGTATAATGTTAGAAGAAAACAGTTTGCAATACCCGCATGTGTTTATGCGGATTTTTAGGAAAGCTCTGAGATTTGCCATCATATAGTTTGAAAAAAAAAAATAATCTCAACATTTGAAGGTATCTACGCTAGCATTGGATCCCAATATACATTTTTATAATAAATAGTATCCTACCTGAGTCAGGGGGTTTATTTATCAACATTGAATGAATGGCCGTTATATCAGGTCCAGTGATGGCTTCGACGTATTGAAGGATCTGAAAGGCGTTTAATAATTTTCAATAAAAAGAATATCTTTGGAGATGCCAAAATAGAATTGTGATGTCATCGTCAGAAATCCAACTGGTTTCTCCGAATTTGCCCAATCATAAAGTGTTTGTACTGAAGCTGTTTGTTGGATAAAGATTCCAAGAAATGGATTTTATTGGAAAGTAAGAATGAGATATGACAGAGTTGTCTTCGTGAACTTTTTTACCATTAGATTACTGCTTACATCCGCTACTCGTTTCCAATCCTTATCAAAACAGGTTACATAGCATATGCTTAGCAGTTACTATTGCTAGTCACCACAAATTGTACCTAATTCAAAGTTTCCAAATTTCATTGATTAACAATTTATTTACGAAAGATTTCACTAATACCAAATTATTATGGAATTTAATACTCACCCTTGGAGAGTGGAGATAACTGAAAAGAACAGGATCGTTTTGAAAATTCTGAATCTTGTTAATTGCCTTTTCTCCTTGTATTGACTTGTCTTTGGCAATGGAGACATCCCTCATCATTCCTAGGCCGGGAATGGCAACCTTCATCATTTTCAATAAATGATTTACTCACACATAACGAAATTATATTTTTTCAACGCAGATAAGATGTGTAAAACATTTTAGTGTAACTATGTTTCATCTTTAGATATTCCACTTTTGCATCCAATTTGCAAATCTTCTGTATTTTATTAAGACTTACTAATCTTTAGAACTATTTACTGCATTTAACAATCGCCGAAAATTATTGAGTATGAAGATTCCTCAATTTTAAAATGCATATTGTTCAAGTAAACGTTTGTGTCAAAGTGAATCAATAACGTTTGTGTCAGAGTGAATCAATCGCAGGCAAAACGCAGCCAGCGATGTAACCAAAGATGAATTGACTCGTACAATTGTAATGAACACATCGTACACGTATGGCATTTGAAATGGCGCATAACGTATTCATTTAAATTTTACGTTTCAATATAAGGATAATGCAAAAATAATAACAAAGCGAATTTTCGCAAAAATATACTAGAAAGCAATTATTCCAAGTAAATTGCTACAAATAAAATGTGCGTTTGGATATGGCAATATGTACTTTGTTCTGACCTGTTTTGTGCAAATTTCATGAAATCTTATCCGATAAATATCAAGCTCATATTGTGAAACAAGCTTACGCACTACAAGATATCCATTTTCCTCGTAAAATTGTCGTTGTTCGTTCGTTAGTTTACCATTATAATTTAAAGTATACCGATATCCAGAAGATGAAGTCATTTTAGTAACCTGAAAATGACACCCAATGAGTAACAATCAATTTTCAGTTCAGTAATCACCAATCTATTTAACAATATCTGTATTAAACAAACAGCGCGGATGATATAGGTTTGATAAACTGAATACCACGATGAGCCCAAATTTTGGCTTTAGGCTCAATTCAGTTCTGACCAGTTTTCAACGCTTCCTGTTTGTAGCTGAGGATACAGTCAGTTTTTTTTTTTCACATTTAATCATTTTCATAACAAAGCTCGGTTTATCCCTAATAATTTCAAGCTTGAAAACTTATTTCCAACTCTATTTGAAATTATTAAATACTAGACAATGTGAGATAATAAATCACTAGTTAAACTTACCAATTTTGGGACGTCATATCCAATATGGCCCCTGATCACATTCAGTCGATCAACCGCAGCCATGATAATGTTCGTCGTTTTATGTATAAAGTTTAAGATCGATTACACTTTATTTCCAAAATTCAAAACTTAAACCGGAAGTTGCCCGATATTTAAAAATATACAATTTCATAACCGATACAGTAGGCGACTAGTAGTTTATTTGCCTCATTATTTGAAAAAGAGATAGCATGCTGAAGTGCAAACTCACTGCTTGTTACTAACTTGAAGTGTCGTATTTACCATTAGGCAAGGTGGGCTGAAGAAGCCTAGAGGCCTCAAGCCATAGGCTTCGTCGTGCAGTTTCGAACTACTTTATAATGTTTTTGAATGAATAAATAAAATTAATTGAGTGAGTGGCTTTCGTATTCACGCAATTCAAAATTTATTTACGGCGTCATAATACACTTTACATAAACTTAATTAATCTATAATTTACGTCAAAATCGATCAACGACATTTTATGACGTCATTGTTAAAGATAATAGCATAGCCATAGTCTAAATCCGGCCCTACTTGAAGGCAATTTTTTTTCAAAAAATAATTGCGCCTGTTTATAGATGTATCTATCACATGACAACTGCCAGGTGCAACTGCATAGCTAATCTGCAAGGCAACCTTGAAAACTCCTGCATCGCTTCAACAGTTTGCTTGTTTGTCCCATTCGTATTAGCAAATAAAATCGGTTCGTTGACTTTGGCTTTGTAAAATCAATGTGTGCTCAAAGGTCGATTCCGCTACGAGTCATTTGGTGGCTTAACGGATACTGTACATTTATGAACTACATACGGTTGATAAACTATTACGGTTTAAGTTGATTTAATCAAATTGGACTCAGAGAACAGTGAGAGGATCCCGCTATAGAAATAATGTAATGCGAAATATTGCTGAGAGCGCGGATGTAACAACAGAAAATTTACAAAACATTAATAATATATAAAAAGTGCTTAATTTCCAATAGTGAAGTATAGAGACAAAAACTGAAAACTATTTTATACATTGAGTCAGCTACAACCTTAATTTTAGGAGAGATGGGGTGAACATAACACGCGACCATTTTATTTCTAAAACATGACGCTGATCGTTTTACTTTTCGCATTTTCCCTAAAATCATAGATAACATTTGTGAAGAGGTCAAAAAGTAACTTACTGTCAACAATTAAAGAACTGATGGCGTTACGTTCTTCTAAAACATATAGTAAAGACCATCAATGTTTTCTTTGTACTATTACTTCTTTTCCAAATCATTAGAATTATCCATAGACATTAACACATTTTAGTGTTGCGGGTTAGTTGCTCATGCCAGCCTAGATTTTTATCTTGGTAATTTAGGCTACATGTTTGGCAAATGAATGAGTTTTTATTGCCTAATGAATTCTATAGTAAATGAATATTGTGTGTTTAGTATTGCTGACGATGCAGTTCGATGCCTTTATACAACCACCAACGTCCAAATTAAGTGTCCAATGCAATGGCAACAAAGTCGTAGTCATAGGCGTAGACAAGTGAGCTGAGAGGCCATTTTACTATCAATAATCCTTTCTCCAAATGAACCGAGATAGATGAAAATGCGCGTTTATATATCTTGGATTACTGTGACAGCGATGTAAGTTTGCAGAGAAATTTCTTAACAAAGTCTTAGCCATCAGTGGCTGCTTTAATCTGATCTTGTTCGGAGCAAAAGGCACGAGTAAGCGTCGTAATACGTCATTTTATAAAAATAATTTTGCCCCTTCCCCAAATTTTGGTTTACGATCTTGACTCATAGTGATGTTTTTAATTATTTCGCTCAAATAAAATATATGATTCATTCACACAAAAAAATAATAACAAAAGTATTGTAGGCAAAAATAAATAGTCGGTAAATATATATGAACTTCAAAGCGTTTTATATATGTGTCCATTCTACCCATGCACTCATGTTTCCTGGTACTGGTACGTAATTCAATTTCGTTGAATAAGGATTGATAAATGAAGGAACATACGAATATATTTCCAGCAAGTCTGTCTGGAAAAAATTCAATGGGTTGAATGCTGTTGGTAGCTAATAATAGATAATTATTTATTTAGATTCTATATTAATAAAAAACCCAATTAATATAAAACCATATGTTTCAACTCTTTTCAAATATTTACAAACAAGGTAACTATTAAATGTTTTTCCGCATTCCTTGAACTGCCCGATATATTGTTCGAGCCCCTTCTTCATAAGGTACATCCTTGCCCGTTTGACGTTTTACGATGCCCACACCTTCAGCCACAAAATTTTTCTGTGACGTTCCTTCTGGTAAAATGAAATGACACTGGCTGCTGGCAAAATGCCCACTGATGGCCTGAAATGAAGTATCCATAAATAAATGTACAATTTGATATTAATTCGTATATTGCACGAAAACATATGAAGGAAGTGAACGATAAGTTTAATCAAAATTACATAACTGTTAATATCTATCAATACACAATCGTTGAAAACTTAAAGAAAAACGCTAGAAATACCTGCATTATTTATTTGAAACTTTATACGCAAAATTGGGGTAATTTCAAATATCTTACGTTTACAATTTATCCTTGATTTATCAAGAATGTATTTGTTATTAATAAGTTTTAAACCCATTTTCTAAAGATAAGACTCACCTTTCTAAATCCATCACTGACATTCGTTCCTGAACCATGAACGAGTAATGGATGAAAGAATACGGTATCACCTTCTTCCATCACTAGATGGTGTCTGGGAGCATTTTCGTCGTAGTCGTCTACTCCATAATACATTTTATTCACACCACCCTAAAATGTTAAATTAAATTAGAGCCAGATTAAATTTGCTTTGGATAAATAAAGAATCAATCTACATTGATAATTGCATATGCATTCAGAGTAACTTTAACTAACTGAACGGTACTCATGAAGTATGCGCACCAAGATGCCGCATAACCTGAAACCTAACCTGGTATATAACTTGAGTTCAGGTTGTGCGCCATCTTGGTGCGCATATTTCAGAAGGTCCAACTGAACAGTATTGCAAACCTCCCAGTCTGGATATTTGTGCTCTTTTAACGGTTGCTTGTGTGTTCCTGGCAGTACAACAAGGCATCCATTACTTCTGTCAATTTTCTGCATTGCAGTCCATGCACAAGCAATCCGATCTTCAGGTCGCAGTAGAAAGTAATGCAGATCTTGATGAAGCGGGTGCCGAGATGTCTTCTTACCTTGATATGATAAAAACATTTTTCAGTTTCTTATAACAAATTAGATATTTTTGCGATTTTGAACAGTCTACACAAACTGGGCGAAAAGTTTCTTGCGCTGAAAATAGTACAATGTACAAGGGAATGCCCATTTAATACTTACCGTTACCAGTTGACAAACCCCGTGTAAATGTACAGCACTCATTGATTAGCAAAGTTCGGTTGAAACAATGAGCTCCAGATAAAATATAAGAATTACGGTTTTCTAGGTCTAAAATCTAGAAGACACTTTCTTCCTTAACTGCTGGAAATCTAATAGTCATTGGTTCAGTAGCGGAGACTAATTGCAAAAATAATCTTTTTTCCCATTTAATTAACAACAACCACATGAGTATCAAAAGCTTATTAGCAAAACTATCAATATGTCCTCATGTTTTCAATATGGATGAAAATGTAATGGCTATCACCATCCTTTGTAAACCATCATTCACATTACATGGACAGGCAGTGGATCATGCATAATTGGAGAGGAACACAACAGCAGCGTCATGACAAGAAAGCAAACATAGCCTTGTATAATTATTAACATTAGGTCAACATCGCAAATATTTTTACGTTATTTGTCCATATCGCTCACATTAATAGTGAACGACATAAAGGTCATGAAACATTTATTAGAAGCAAACTACAATCAGTATAATGTTAGAAGAAAACAGTTCGAAATGCCCGCATGTGTTCATTCGTATTTTCAGCAAAGCTCTGAGATTTGCGATCTTATAGTTTGAAAATAAATTTGGAGATATCTACGCTAGCATTGGATCAAAATATACATTTTTATGATTAATAGTATTCTACCTGAGTCCGGGGGTTTATTTATCAACATTGAATGAATGGCCGTTATATCAGGTCCAGTAATGGCTTCGACGTATTGAAGGATCTGAAATGCATTTAATGATTTTCAATAAAAAATATACATTTGGAGAGTACGAAATAGGTTGTGATGGGATTAGCAGTATGACAGCTGGTTTCTCTGTATTTGCTCAAATAGGAAATGTTTGTACTGAAATTGTTTGTTGGATGAGCATTACAAAAAATGCAAAAATGGTTTTATTGAAAAGTAAGGAAGAAATATGACAGAGTTGTTTCAATAACAAGTTCGGTTAAATTTTTTTTTCGTTAGATTACTGCTTACATCCGCCATTCATTTTCAATCTTTATCGAAACAGGTTGCAAAAAATATGCTTGGCAGTTACTATTGCTAGCCACGACAAATTGTACCTAACTTAAAGTTTCCTAATTTCATTAATCAACATTTATTTACGGAAATCTTTTACTAATACCAAAGTTATTATGAAATTTAATACTTACCCTTGGAGAGTGGAGATAACTGAAAAGAACAGGATCGTTTTGAAAATGCTGAATCTTGTTAATTGCCTTTTCTCCTTGTATAGACTTGTCTTTGGCGATAGAGACATCCCTCATCAATGCTAGGCCGGGAATCGCAACCTTCAGCATTTTCAATAAACGATTTACGCACACATAGCGAAATTTTATTTTTTTAACACAGATAAGATGTTTAAAACATTTTAGTGTAACTATGTTTCTTCTTTAGATATTTCGCTTTTGCATCTAATTTGCAAATCTTCTGTATTTTAATGAAAATTACCAATTTTCAGAACTATTTACTACATTTATCAATCGCCGAAAATTATTGAATATAAAGATTCTTCAATTTCAAAATGCATATTGTTCAATTAAACGTTTGTGTCAGAGTGAATCAATCGCAGGCGAAACGTAGCCTGCGGAATACCCAAAGATGAATTGATTCGTGCAATTGTAATGAACACATCGTAAACTCATGGTATTAAAAATGGCGCAAAACATATTCATTTAAATTTTACGTTTTCAATATAAGGATACTGCAAAAATAAATTCAAAATGTGCGCTTGGATATGCCAATATGTACTTTGTTCTGACCTGTTTTGTGCAAATTTCATGAAATCTCTTCCGATAAATATCAAGCTCATATTGTGGCATAAGCTTGCGCACTACAAGATATCCATTTTCCTCGTAAAATTGTCGTTGTTCGTTCGTTAGTTTACCATTATAATTTAAAGTATACCGATATCCAGAAGATGACGTCATTTTAGTAACCTGAAAATGGCACCCAACGAGTAGCAATCAATTTTCAGTCCAGTAATCACCAATCTATTTAACAATATCTGTATTATACAAACAGCGTGAAGTATATAGGTCTGATAAACTCAAAGCCACGGTATGCCCCAATCTTGGTTTATGCTTAATCCAGTACTGACCAGGTTAACGCTCCAGGTTTATAGCCTAGGACACAGCCAGAAACAAGTTTTTTTTATATTAAATCATTTTATCTAGATAAGCAGTTTTTATGATAATTCGAACCCGAAAACTCATTTCTAACTCTATTTTAAATTATTGAATACTAGACAATGTGAGATAATTAATCACCAATTAAAACTTACCAATTCTGGAGCGTCATATCCAATATGGCCCCTGATTACATTCAGTCGATCAACCGTCGTCATGACAATGTTCGTCGTTTTATGTATAAAGCTTAAAATTGATATCACTTTTGTTCCAAGATCCAAAAGTTAATAAACCTGAAGTTACCTGATATAATTTCAAAATATACAATTTCATAACCGGTGCAGTAGTCTTGAAGTCAGTGTCGGATTTACCATTAGGCAAGGTAGGCTGAAGAAGGCCTCAAGCCGTAGGCTTCGTCATGCAGTTTCGAACTCCTTTATTATGTTTCTGAATGAATAAATAAAACCCCTAAGGTGAGTGGCTTTCGTATTCACGCAATTTAAATATTATTTATGGCGTCACACACTTTACATAAACTTAAATTTTCAACATTTACTTCAAATTCGATCAATGAAATTTTATGAAGTCATTATCAAAGATAATCGCTTAGCCATAGTCTAAATCCGGCCCTACTTGAAGGCCAATTTTATTTTCAAAAAATATTTGCGCCTGTTTATGGATGTATATATCACATGACAACTGCCAGGTGCAACTACAACGCTAATCTGCAAGGCCACCTTATAAACCTCTGCATCGCTCTAACAGTTTGCTTGTTTGGCTGAGTCTGAACAATGTATGTACAGTATACTCATTGGTCTGAGCAAATAAAATTTGTTCGTTGATATTGGCTTCGAAAATTCAATGTATGCTCAAAGGTCGATTCCGCTACGACTCATTTGGTGACTCAACTGATATTATTTTTTTATTACTGTGCTTCTATAACCTACATACGGTCGGTTCAAGTTGATTCAATCAAATTGGACAGTGAGGCTCCCGCTTTAGGAATAATGCATTACTAAATATTGCTAAGATCATGGATGTAACAACAGAAAATTCACATACGATGATATATTTAAAAAAGGAGGTCAATTTCGAATAGTGAAGTATAGAGACAGAACTGAAAACTACTCTAAACAATCAGCTTCGACCTCAATTTTAAGAGAGATGGGGTGAACCTAATACGCGAACATTTTATTTCTAAAACATGACGCTGATCGCTTTACTTTTCGCGTTTTACTTAAAATAATAGATAACATTTGTAGAGAGGTCAAAAAGTGAATTAGTGTTAACAATTTTAAGGTGTGTTTTAACAATTTTAATTGTGTGTTTACTGTTTAGTATTGCTGACGATGCAGTTCGGTGCCATTAAACAACCACCATCGCCCAAATTGAGTGTCAAATACACAGGCAACAAAGTCGAATAAATGCTTTTAATATACTGTACTGCCTTGGAATTTGACTACACGGTCTATCTCGCCACTTCAGGTTTGAAATGACTCATGTTATAATATAGACTTTGACTTTTGGGCTGAGGGGCCATTTTACTATCAATAATCTTTTCTCCAAATGAACCGATATAGATGAAAATGCGCAATCATTTATCTTGGACTACTTTGACAGCAAAGTAAGTCTGCAGAGAAATTTCTTAATCAATTGTCAGACATCAATGGCTGGCTGCTTCAATCTGGCCTTGTTTGGAGCAAAAGGCACGAGTGAGCGTCGTATTACGTCATTATACAAAAATAATTTTGGCCCTCCCCCCGATTTTGGGCTGGCTACGATCTTGACTCATAATGATATTTTAATTTATTTTGCTCAAATAAAATATATGATTCATGCACAAGAAAAATAATAAAAAAAGTATTGCAGGCAAAAATAAATTGTCGGTAAATAACTTCTAGAGCGTTTTAATTATGTGTCATTTCCATCCATGCACCCATGTTTCCTCGTCCTAAAATGTAATTTTCGTCAGCCCACAAAACCTTCTTTACAAAATATTTATACTAAATTTCTTTGGACACTAGAATAGGGGTTGATAAATGATGGAACAAAGGGATATCTTTTCAGCAAGTCTGTCTGGAAAAAAATCGATGGGTTGAATGATGTTGGTAAAACTGTTGAATTATATCCCAGTAATCCAGGGTAACAGGGTAACTGCTTTGGTAGGCGAGAACATGCTTCAGCATTTGCTGACTCTGTTGAGTAAGCAGATCTTTTCTTCAATAACTGTTGAAAAGAATTAAAGGTAATTCATATTAAAGGGTTTTATAGTGCTGATAGTGAACAGAGAAAAAACAAATTGATTTGATTTTGATCACAAATTGGTATTATTAAACGAATTGCATCTCGCAAATGAGTTTGATCGCAATAACTAAATAAATTGAAAGATTTGTGGTTTGAAGTTTACATATTAACTTTAAATAGCGTGCGTTTTCTCACCTCTTCCATTGTTTTGATAACATTATCATCACATTCGTTCAATGTTTCAAGAATCGTAGTTGGAAGAATTGTAGGAAATGTTCGAACCAATGCATGGAACGTCCTGCAATAAAACGAATGAGATATTAAAAAACATGAAACACAATATTCAGTTACATCTAGGATTTCAATATAATATTTTGTATAAACCTACCTTCTCATTGAATTTTCACAAGATTCAATGTAACATGAGTCGTTTCGTTTTATTTCCAAATTATCTTTCTGGCCTAATTTGGGAAAATTTCTCACTGGAGTAGAATGAATTGGCAAAACTTGGCCACATTTATCACTAGCTGTATTCGAGTAATCTGGAGTAGTCGCGGCATCACTGGTCGGAGATAATGAGAAACATCCTGAAGTTGTATCACTGTTATTTGTAGTTTTGCAGTTTTCCATGCAAGCACTGTTCTTATCTAAGTGCGATTCCAAACAAGTCCTGTCAAATGTCGGCGTGATTAAATCTGTTTCAAACTTGATTCGTTTGGGTGCTGTAAATATATAATGCAATTCTAAATCTTGCTACAAACTTATTCACAAAATCTAATACACAATATAAAATATTTATTTACCTTGAACAACATCAGTGTACTCTGCATATAAATTACGTTTTGCATTGATTAGATGAGATTCTTGAGCTTGTTGTCGGCGTAGTGCCACCTAAAATATATATATAAATGTATATTTAAGTAAGCAAAAGATTTGTTATGATATAAATATGAACAATACAATTAAATCAAATCAAACATACTTGAGCAGCCATAACTCTTTGTCTTTCTGCAATCAAGTTACACTTAACACATTCGCAATTCTTCCATTTGCAAAATCGTTTATGACCTTTCAAAACATTGATTTCACCATGATTTCGACACCTGTAAATTTAAAATTTTTCTATAAAACTGTTGTAACAATTAGGCATAATAAATAAAAATAGAAAACAAATTACTCACCTTGCGCACTTTGGGGCTCTGTTGGGTACATTACTATGATCGTTTGGTAGACTGCTTTGACTCACAGGTCCTTCTTTATTCTTATAGATATCACTGGGATTTACGTATGGCAACTGCTGTACATGAAAAGTATCCATAGTTCAAAAAGTCTAAAGGTTTTTTACTCAGTGTAATAATAATGTATCGTCAAGTTACGATTTTTCCACTACAATCCAAACTGTTCTTATATATGCGTGTAATCTAAATTTTTTCTTCTTTTATCGCAATTATAAAATAAAACAAAAGGTTTGACGAGATGCATTGTTCACTAATTATCTGCGTTTCCATTTAACAAAAACAATTTGTAAAACAACTGATAACAAATATTACGAAGATCTTACCTTTGTTAAAATTGAATTCCTGTGACACGCGATTAGTCCTATTGTTTACTTGTTTACTTTAACAAATATTTTGTCGTGCTCACACGACCGCGTTTCCTTTTATTACTTATTTCGTTCATTTTTAGGAAACTACATTACGCATTTTTATATAATTGGACCTTGTACGTTAAGTTATAGAATATTTATTATTATTATCGTCTAATCGTCTTATTTATTAATATCGTCTAAGCTTTAATTCAAAATATGTAATAGAAATATATCAACTTGTTTTTTTGCGTGCCTGCGTATTCTCGCTTCTCGTTCAAATTGCTATTTTTGATGTTATTCAAAATATACCTGTATAGGTTCCAAAACAGATTTCTAACTATAGCATTCGAAATAAATTTTGAATAGGGTTGAAATGTTTTGTTACCTCTGAGATTCAATCACCAAAAATGTGTGAATGCCAATATCAATAGCCATGTTTCCTGAATAAAGTAGCGCCGGCTGCATATTTGTTTAGTACAATTAAAAATATTTGTAATTAATTATCTGTGAAATATAATTGTCAAAAATTTTAGGCAGATGAAGTGCAATTAAGCTCATATTCTTAAAAAAAACAGTCTAACTTTAATATGAAAGCATGAACATTGATTTTGTTCAATTTGTTTCTGAATAATTTTTTCTACAAATCTGAATGAATTCAATTTAAATGGCCTCTGTATCCGTTACACATGCGATTCATTATTGTTTTCTGTTATCTATTACTGAACAACTCGGAATAAACAAAAACGATACAAACAGCTAATTCATTTCCGATTGGCAATTCGGGAAATCGACCACAGATAACAATTTGTTTATAGAGTTGATTAATCATGGATGACGATTAAATCTTGTAAGTATTTTTCTACTTCATTAGTGATTTTATCCATGTTTTACAAAGCTCATATTGTATATATTCAGCAATGCATAACGCCAATCAGCAATTTATTCAACACGTAACCAATATTAAGTCTGAAGTATTATATTTTAGTTTTTGTAATTTTTTTTTCAATTACAAGGAACATGGTTTAGGCTACTAATGCTTTCACAATGATTAGAATGTCCTAACCAAGTTAAAAGATTTCAATCAGTTCACATAGTTCATAAATTTATTTACTAGTAAATTACAATTAATATTAGTATTAAGAGGAAACGAGGTCGCGTGAACATAACTTAATATTTGATAAAGTAAACAACAATAGTAATAATCGCGTGTCACAGGAATTCAATTTTAACAATAGCAACATCTTCGTTATAATTGTTATCATCTGCACTATATATTGTTTCTGTTCGATGGAACCGAAGATAATTACTGAACAATTGAATTCTTTTGTTTTATTTATCATTTGAAATAAATTGAGATAAAATTAAGATTTCATTAACTTATCAGATTATTTCAAAAACACTGAACTATGCATGCCTCCCAACAACAATAGTTATCATACACCTATCTCAGTGGAATCTACAAGCTTCCAGGGTGTGTGAGCCAGAGTCTACACCAAACAATCATAGTGATGTTTCCAACTTAGCACCAAAGTGCACCAGGTGAGTGATATGACATAATGTGCAATTTTCGTTTTATGTGCCTAAATGCTACAATGGTTTCAATAAAAGTATTTTAAAACTTCGCAGATGTCAAAATCGAGGCGAAATTAGCGTTTGAAAGGTCACAAACGGTTCTGTAAATGTAAAAATTGCCAATGTGTAAAATTTAACTTGAGTGCAGAAAGACAAAGAGTTATGGCTGCTCAAGTTGGTCCAATTAAACTAATTTCGTTGGTTCCATTTGTATACACCATAACAACTTATATATATTTTTTTATACTTACATTTATTTACATATTAAGTTTAATGGCACTGGTAGACAACAAGCTCAAGAATCTAATCTGATCAATGCAAAACGCAAGTTATATGAAGAGTACAAATAAGTTTTTCGAGGTTAGCATTTTACCTTCAACTATACTATTTAATTTTCTGTATATATTCACAGAATCCAAAAGAATCGTCATCGAGAATGATTTTCGTACTCCAATATTCGAAATGACTCGTGCCGATACAAATTTCGATATTACCAATGATGACGTCAAAAGGATAAGCCAAGGTCAAACTACAAATAACAGTGTCCTAGTAACAGTGACGTCGCGATTCCTCCAAATTGCCCAAGCACCGTTAAAGATGAATGTGACCGAGATCACCCGATTCATTCTACTTCAGTGAGAAATCTCTCCAAATTAGACGAGAGAGAGAATGTGGATACGGAACAAGAGGCCAAGACATTCACTGAAGCTTGTGGATATTCGTTGAAGAGGTAAATTAAAATAAATCCATATACTAAAACTCTAGATAGACATGTAATCAACGTTTTATGAAATGTATGGTTACATACAGTGGTGCGATTCAGTAGTTTAAAAACAGGTTCTCTTTGGTATAGAACTCGCTCCAAGTTCCCATATTTCATAAAATTATGCTAAACTTATAATCCTCTAACTAAACACCATATTTACTAATTTATGATTCTGCGTAAGCTACATTAACATTTAACGCTTTAATTCGATATAATACCTTACTTTTCAAAATGCCGAATATTACATTAGTCTTCAGCTCCGGAACGGGTTCGATGATAGTCACGTCATTCCAAGAAGTGCGAACCCCCTGAATGTCACCACTGGTTACATAGCTTTTTAATCATGCACTACTGAGAAGCATTATATAAAGGAAAACTGTCATCAAAACAATGAAAAAGGTGAGAAAACGCGAGCTTTCCTAGATTATCGTAAGAAAACAAACTTAACGAAGGAAACATTAGTTATGATCAGAGTCGCGAGTTAAATTTCAGGTCATGTAATCAGATAACACATAAAATACTCCCATACGTTATGACAGGGATTCCAACCGGACTCTCTGCAGACTTTTTGCAAATGCTACAGAAAGGTTAAGATGTGAACTTTGTAAATCGGAAATTTAATATATATATGTACTTTTTATAATTTGTGATTTCCGTTTTGTTAAAAATTGTTTCGGATCAGAAATGGCTTCATTCTATTCAAAAGTAATCATTTACAATCATTAGTTCGCATTAATCATTTTCTTTCACTTACAGTTACTGACGAAAAAATCTACTTCACCAACAATGTCACTGGGTACAGGAAATGCAAATTACAAAAGTTTGCTTGGATGCCAAATCAGTTTAACGCTTCTCATTTATTTGGATATAAATTTTCAGTTCTGCCTTCAACAACATTCACTCCTTCAAGTTCCTTTCAGACAGGCAAGATATTGTTGGCAAGATATCCATATGCTTTTTCATTTATTAGCCCTTACTCAAATTTTCAACAAAGTCAGGTATAAAGAACACGGCCTGAGGTGAGTACAAAGTTGTGTGGAGGACGCAAATGAATACAACAGGAAGCGAAGGACAGAAAGATACACCTACAAAGTTCATTTACAATTTTAAAAAAGTATCTATTTTCGTCTACCCTTTGTCATTTACTTATTTATATTTTTGTGTTTAAATCACATTTTTTGTATAAAATAAATATTTTTTGATATGAACAGGTAATACAAAGCATTCAGAACAGTTACCAACAATCATAGTGATAAATATAACGACATAGGCCTTAATAACAGAACGACTGTCATTCTTTGTAAAAAAAAAAATCTCCCCCCAATTGACGCATAAGTCATTAAAAACTATATATTTCAATGAGTGCAAATACACCAAGTCATCCACCCATGTATTTACCAAAATTTAGAATGAAATTTAATAACAAGTCGACTTCGATCTCTGAGGGCGACTGCCTTGCTTTTCGCCACAAAATTAATAAATGATAAACGCATTATTTGGTTTAGTTTCGAATCTGTCACTAAATCCAAAGTTTTTAATGTGTCACTAAACTTCAGAACGTTTGAAATATTGATTTTACCAGAAAGTTGAATGTCTATTGGGTAGCTAGGTATTGATGAATGAAATATAAAGCTAAAATTCGCTCTGACTCAATAGCGTGGAAACTTTCTCGGTGGAAACTTGCGCATCGCACACACACACTCATCACATGCGCGCTCTAGCCTCAAAAATCTAGGCAATACACGTTCTCTCGTTTTGCAAAAATCTAGATCTTTTCATCCCTAATTAATTAATGACTCGCTAATTATACGACATAATTCATCCAATCGATAGGCTTCTGGTCCGAGATATGATGAATGCACAAGCAAAATTTGGAGCAGATTCAACCTCGTTTTCGTGAGATATCGCGTGTATCTAACAGACAAACAGAGATTAATGCTCAAATATCGCAATGTCAGCAAAATTATTCCAGCCGATTGTTGAAAGATAACATTCTAAATATCATCTAAACAGCGTTTCCAAGATATAATGGGTCCCATAGTAAAATCAAAGAAAGTCACAGTCTTCAAGTGACTTCTTTCAATTTCGAGTACCGGTACTAAAAATTTAAAATTGATTTGGTGGTTATTAGAGCATAGTAATACACAAACTCACAAGTAAATCATTATTCATTAATTATTGTTTTCTATAGGAACTTAGAATAGTGCTTTCTTTGTTGTATGTGTACGCTGAGTAGACTTCAAACAATTCACCTTCTCTCCTATATGAATTACTGGACTGTCTTTTTTTTTTCTTTATATTTGCGTAAAGAAAAAAGAGTGGAAAACACATAAAATAGAGTACAATTGAAAAAAAAATTAAAATAAAGCAATAATATAAATAAATCTTAATAGTATCACTGTCTGCAGTAGTATCTGTCACCTTTTCTCTTGTTCGTATAACGTCATCATCCCATTCGTTAAATGTATTGTACTTGGTAGAATTGTTGGAAATGCTTGAATCATCACATGGAACTATTTGTATATGGAAGCAACATAAAACAAATGTATCACCCTACCTTGAATATTTCGATAAAAATACATTTCCCTCGGTAAAGACTTAACCAAACAAAAACTTTTCGTAGAAGTTATGAATTCGTCAATCAGCTGATTTTAAGTTAAACAATGATATAGTGTGATGAATATTGGGAATTCGACGATTCAAAAACAAAAGACATTTAATAAGTGTTAAGTGCAAGACTATGAGATATACCCATAACAAGAAATTCTTTGATTGAATATTACTAACTCATGAAAGATCGCGACATTACTGCCAGCCGTAGTCCTTTTACAGAAACGAATTGCGCCGGCTAAAAACAGGTTCTAAACCAGTGATTCTCAAACTAGGGTTTGAGACCCGCATGCGGCTCTCAACAACCTTTCCTGCGGCTCCCGTTAATGTTTTAAAAATTAATTATTTTCGAAGGAAATTTTTCATTGAAAACTAATCATTGACTTGAAATTAAAATGCTGAAGTCTATTAATTAGTCGAATGGATTCCCCCGTGTTTATTTGCGTAGCGTTGACTAACCTATAAGATGCAATAGTGACGCAACAGTGAGCGTTTTCGCGGCCAATCAGACACTTTTCACTTGGAAAGATTTTTAGACATGGCTGTAATCATTGGCTTGCTTTCGCGGATTTTCAGTTTTAGTCGCATTTCCAGATCTTATGTATAAATCAAATAACTCGATGATTATTTTAATTTCTATAGCATTTTAATTTTGTTCCAGTAATCGAAAAGTCTCGAAAAATGTGGCGATCATCTCAAGCAGCTACTGCACCTTACATCCTCAACGATTACGACCCGCTTTGAAAACTTATCAGAAATCAAAGCCTAAATAAATAGCTGTTCGGCTAGGGTGGGCAAAATGGAATGTTTTTCGAATCGAATAATTTGAATATTTTTTTTATACATAACAGGGATCCAGAACTTCGGAGGTCGATACTCCATTTGGAAATTAATAGAAACATTAAAAAGTCGGCAATAAAGCGTTTTTTAATGGGTAATTTTATCATAATTGCTGATTGTCTTTATCACCGCGATCGTTTTGGCGGCGATATCCTAAAGTTGGTATTCTATATTTCCGCCCTTTCTCGTTTTTGCAAGAATAAGCGGTCGCCGAATATCAAAATTTCATATTTCTAGTATACCCTTGCGTTCACATCAGCGACAGCTGTTGAATACATTTAAAGACTAATTTTAGAACCAAATTAATTCTATTCTGAGTTTTATCCTCTGCCTTGGATTTGATCTTCCTTATCACCGCTTGTAAATTAACCGTGCATGTTTAAAGTGAACGGTAACCGAGATGCAGATATTTATTATAATGATATTTGAGTTTCTCATGCTTTTCTATGGTGTCCGTGTTATTTTAGTATTAGATAGATAAACCTAGCAAATTTACGATTGCGTGAATCCTGCATGTTGATTTAAAATAGCGATTAAATAAATTGGCAATAAAGGCATTTCTAGGCCTTTGTGCCTAATAGAGGGTCAGACTCTAATTATACCTAATTCCTTCAAGTTTTATCGTTTTTTTTTCAACAAAACAACACCCCGATGGTTATTATAGCTAAAATACTTACTGAGTAATGCTCAATTTTCTTTACGGAATTTGCAAATTCAGCACTTCGCTTAATGATTTCGATTATGTCATACCTTGAGGCTTAATTATTACTGCCCAAATGCTTCAAAATTTAACAATTGTAATCATTTTCGATGATAATAGACGCAACAATTCGTGAACGAGTCAGTGCTTTAAAGGGAGTAGGACATGACATTTCTTATCCGGTTACAACTTAATGAGTGTTTTCCATACAAGTAACTCATACCAGCTTTTGGAAAAACATTTGGTCATTTTTAAATCCATGCTATTTACATAACTAGAGTGTTTTAACGACCTAAAATCGCCTTTTTCACAATGAAACGCCTAAAAGTCATTTTAACATTTAATTTTAAGCAAGTTTATGTTCGGTAATGCAAGAAATGGCTAATGACATGCCACCAAGCATGCCGAGTGTAAATCTGGGAAATTTATTTTAAATACCTAATCTGGTTTGACGTTTCTAAATTTACGGAACGGTCGGTACGTTTTTTTTTTGCAAAATGATGAATTGAAAAGATACGTTAGGTGCAAAAATAAGCATATAACACCATAACGCAAAGACGACTTTTCAAATTTTTCAAATTTTGTCTGATAGCGAGCGCCTTTGGGAAATCTCGCACAATTCACGATTGAGTTGGAGACGCTCGAGTTCGGTGTCCAAGCAGAGCGGCGCAGGTCACGTGGTACCGGATATCCGAATCGTGAAATGCCATTCGAATATTTTATTATTCGAAAATTTTGCCCAGCCCTAGTTGTTACGTGTGTTGTTGTTACGGTGACTTAGTATTTTAATTACGCGCTGAAGGTTTGTTGCTATTTTACCTTGCGTTGTTTGTGTGCGGCTCTCCATACCTTTGAGGTTTGAAATGCGGCTCTGGGACTAAAAAAGTTTGAGAACCACTGTTCTAAACCCTAGCGTTACACCAATACCTAAGCTAAGCGTCTAATACAATGACACTATCGTCGTATAAATGATTTGAGTATACTGCTTTGAAATTTGACTACTCGTTCCATCTCGACTGTCTAGGTTGAGAAGGTCTCATGTTGGTGTTTTAATATATTTTGCTCAAATAAAATATATGATTAATGCACAAAAAAAAATAATAAAAAAGTACTGTAGGTAAAAATAAATAATCGGGAAATATATATGAACTTTTAAAGTGTTTTATATGTGAGTCTTTTATTTCCTATAGCATCCTTATTTCGTTTAAGTATGTCCTTTGAATTCGTGGAAAAGACAATATTCACTGGTATGTAATGTCCATCAGATAAGGGTTGTGTGTGGAAAAGTAGATACCACGCCCATATAACCTTCTATAATCTCTTCAATTTTTTTGAACACTTGAAAAGGGGTTGATATATGAAGGAACATATTGATATCTTTTCAGCAAGTCTGTCTGGAAAATACTCGATGGGTTGAACGCCTTTGGTAAAACTGTTGAATTATAGCCCAGCAATTGCGGGTAACAAAACTGCTTTGGTAGGCGAGAAAATACATTAGAATTTGCATTTTCTGTAACCAGTGACTCTATTGAGTATGCAGATCTTTTCTTCAATAACTGTTGGAAAAAATTAAAGTCAATTCATGTTAGAGGTTTTGCAATGCTGATTGTGGAAACAAAAAAACTGAGTATAAATCAAATTAGTATTAAACAAATTTCATCTCGAAGAGTTGGATTATAGAAAATACATTAATTGATACATTAATTAGTTTTTATATTTTTGTTTTTTGAACTTTACATATTAACTTTAAATAGCGTGCGTTTCCTCACCTCTTCCATTGTTTTCATAACATCATCATCACATTCGTTCAATGTTTTAAGAATCGTACTTGGAAGAATTGTTGGAAATGTTCGAACCAATGCCTGGAACGTTCTGCAATAAAAAGAACGAGATATCAAAAAATATTAGAATATACATAATCCTTCGTCATTGGCAATCGTTAATCGCACTATCCAGAATTTTAATATGATATTTTCTATGAACTTACCTCCTTATTGAATTTTCAGAGGGTTCAATGTAGGATGAGTTGTCTCGTTCTATTTCCAAATTATCTCTTTGGCCAAGTTTGGGAAAATTCCTCACCGGAGTAGAATGAACTGGCAAAACGTGGCCAAATTTATCATTAATTGTGCTCGAGTAATCTGGAGTAGTCGAGGCATCACTGGTCGGAGATAATGAGAAACATCCTGAAGTTGTATCACTGTTATTTGTAGTTTTGCAATTATTGGTCTTTTCCATGCAAGCACTGTTCTTATCCAAATGCGAATCCATACAAGTCTTATCAAATGTCGGCGTAAAAAAATCTCTTTCAATCTTGATTCGCTTGGGTTCTGTGAAGATATATTGAAATGATGAATTTTGCTGTAAATTTATTGGCAAAAATTCATACAGAATATAAAAATAGTAACCTTGCACAACGTCAGTGTACTCTGCTTGTAAATTACGTTTTGCATTGATTAGATTCGATTCTTGAGCTTGTTGTCGACGTAGTGCCACCTAAAATATATAAAAATGTATATCTAAGTAAACAAAAGATTTGGTATTATATAAACAAGAACTAAAAAATTGAATTAATCGAACATACTTGAGCAGCCATAACTCTTTGTCTTTCTGCAATTAAGTTACATTTAACACATTCGCAATTCTTCCATTTGCAAAATCGTTTATGACCTTTCAAAACATTGATTTCACCATGATTTCGACACCTGTAGATTCAAGATTTTTTAATGAAACAGTTCCAACATTTAGGCATAGTTAATAGAAAATAGAAAACAGTCCACTTACCTTGCGCACTTTGGTGCTCTGTTGGGTACATTACTATGATCGTTTGGTAGACTGCTGTGACTCACATGCCCGTTATCCTTGTATATTCCACTGGGATATACGTATGGCAACTGCTGTACATGGAAAGTAGCCATAGTTCAAAATTCTGAAGGATTTTTTTTCAGTGTAATAGTAATGTATTGACAGGTTACGATTTGTCCACTATAATTCAAACTGTTCTTTTATATATATGCGTGTTATCTAAATTTTTTCTTCGTTTATCGCAATTATAAAATGAAATAAAGTTTGACGAAATGCATTGTTCACTAACTATCTTTGTTTCCATTTAACAAAAAACAATTTGTAAAACAACTGATAAGAAATATTACGAAGATCCTACCTTTGTTAAAATTGAATTCCTGTGACATGCGATTAGTCCTATTGTTCACTTGTTTACTTTAACATATATTTTGTCGTGCTCACACGACCGCGTTTCCTTTTATTACTTATTTCACTCATTTTTAGGAAACCACATTACGCATTTTTGATAATTGAATGGGCCTTGTACATTGAGTAATATAATAATTATTGCTGAAGCATTAAAATTTCGCCTATGCTTTTATCCAAAATACATAATATAATTATAGCAACTTGTTTTCGAGTACCGGCGTGTTCTTACTCTCCGTTTAAGTCGTTATTTTTTACTTCTTCTAAAAAGATACTTGTAGATTCCAAAACAGACTTCTGACTAGCACTAGAAATAAATTACGTAGTGTGATAAAATGTTTTGTTAATTCCGAGATCCAATTACCAAAAGTGTGTGATTGCTAATGATAATTAGCCTTGTTTTCTGAATAAAATAGCGTCACGTGCATATTTTTTTAGTGTATTTAAAATATTTGCAATTAAATATCTGTGAAATATTAATCTCAAATATGTTTGGGCATATAAAGCGCGCAATGTATATGAAGTTATTAATTTGAACTGAGAATAATATGAACAACAATCATACAAGCAAGTGAATGCGTTTTCTAAGATATATTCAGTCAATGTGCTTACATTCCCAAAAAACTAGTATGAAAGCAAAAACATTGATTTTGTTCAATTTTTTTCTAAATAATTCTCTCTACAAATCAAAATAAATCACCTTGAAGGGCATAATTGGATACGTTACACAAGCGATTCATTATTGTTTTCTCTTATCTTTTACTGAACAACTCTGAATAAAACAACGATGCAAACAGCTAATTGGTTTCCGAATGTCAATTCGGGAAATCGACTACAGATAACATGCAACTTGTTTATTTAGTTGATTACCGATTAATCTTATATGTATTTGTCTACTTTATTAGTGATTTCATCCCTGTTTTACAAAGCTCATATTGTAAATATTCAGCAATGCATAACGTCGATCATCAATGTATTGTCGGCTCAATGTATCAACACGTAACAAATATTAAGTTTCCAAGTCTGAGGTATTATATCCGAATTTTTGTAATTTTGTTTCAATTACAAGAAACACGATATACAAATGCGTTCACAATAATCTGAATATGTTATACAAGTAAAAATATTTCAATCAGTTCACATAATTCATAATTTTATTTACTAGTGTATAACGATAAATATTAGCATTAAGAGGAAACGAGGTCGTGTGAACACACACAATATTTCAAAAGTAAACAATAGTAATAATCACTTGTCACAGGAATTCAATTTTAACAATAGCAACGTCTCCGTTATAATTGTTATCATTTGTACTACATATTGTTTCTGTTCGGTGGAACCAAAGATAATTAATGAACAAATTATTATGTTTTATTTATCAATTGAAATAAATTGAGATAAAATTAAGATTTCACGCGTATAGCAATAGTTTGAAATGTTGAAGACAATCAGTTTCATTAACTTATCAACGCATAACTGCTTCCTATCAACAACAGTTACCATACATCTATCCCAGTGGAATGTACAAGCTTCCAGGTTATGTGAGACAGAGCAGTCTACCAAACGACCATAGTAATTTATTTAAAACAAAGCACCAAAGTGCGCAAGATGGGTAAATGTGCTATTTTTTTTCATGCCTCAATGTTACAATGGTTTTAGTGAAAAGGAAGACAAAGAGTCATGTCTGCCCAAGTAAGTTCAATGTAACTAATTTCGTTAGTTTCATTTGTATATATCTCAACAAGTTTATTTATATATATACTTACATTTATTTTAGGTGGCAGTACCTACGTAGATATCAAGCTCAAGAATCAAATCTGACCTATGAAAAACGTAATTTATATGAACATACAGTGGTGGGATTCAGAAGTTTATAAACAAGTTCTCTCTAGTATCGAATTCGCTATCGGTTACCTCATCTGAAAAAACTATGCCAAAGTTATAGCCCAGCAACTCTACATCATATTTACTAAATCATGTCTCTGTGTAAGCTACATTAACATAGCACACTTTGATTTGATCTAATACATTACATTCAAAACGCCAAATATTACATTAGTATTCAGCTCAAGAACGGGTTGGATGATGATCAACTTTCTCCAAGAACGGGCAAACCTCCTGGATACCACCACTAGTTACATAAGTCTTTAATTATGTAATATTGACAAGCATTATATAGAGCAGTGGTTCCTGAAGTGGTGTTCGCGCACCGTTTGGGGTCCGTGAAATAAATCGGTTATATGGATCATAACTTGACAATACAAAAATTAAGTTCATAAATTTGCAAATTCACATTTGTCTCCTTTTGCTGCTTCGCAATCGCTGCTGGAGACAACTTCACTTCATGTTCCAATCACGATGCCCCACCGTGATGTCACAGAGAAGTTCAATTGCTGCCATTACAAGTTAACTACCTGCAGAAGTATAGCTGACGCTACCTTTTTGTACGTTTGTTGGTATAGGAGAAAGTTACAGTGGGCAGTTCAGGAAGTTCCGGTTCTAATACCATCCCGCTACTAAATGTTGCTTCACAACGAAACAGCAAAACAAGTGCAACCATCTCATTAAACTTCGTCACATACTTTAATTCATTTCAATGTTTTTCACTATAAGCCGCATTGCTTTTTTGTTGTGATCTTTTAATGTTTTTTTTAGTGAACAAGGCCGGAAATACATAAAAAAAAATTGCATGGGGTCCGTCCTTAATTTTTTTCAAAAAGTTTGGCAACCACTGATATAGGGAAAAAAAATTATTTATTTATGCCAATTTGCATTTTTAATAATAAATAATGTTGCTTTTATGTTTTTTTTTTATTCCAGGATTCTATTATTTTTTTCCCCATTATATCCTACAGACGAACTTGAATTGTTATTGATATTTTTTCTGAACCACAAATAATATTAAATTTTTTTCCTAGATTCAGATATGAACTTCAAAACTCGGAAATTGAATATGTGTAATCTTTATAATTTGTGACATCCGTTTTGTAAAAAATTATTTCGGATCAGACTTGGCTTCACTCTATTCAAAAGTAATCATGTGTACAATCTTTGGTTCGCATTAACTATTTTTAGGTTAGCATTCATCAACTCTTACTCCAATTTTAAACGAAGTCAGGTATAAAAAGCACGTCCCGAAGTGAACAGAAAGTTGCGCGGAGGATGCAAAAGAGCACAAGAGGTGCGACGAAAAGAATAATACACATCCAAGGTTCATTCACAATTCAAATATATTTATTTTCGTCTTTTCTTTGTCATTTATTTATATTTTTGTGTTCAAATCACTTTTTTTTGTACAAAATAAATATTTTCTGTGCGATTCCAATTTTTTCAGATATGAAAATGTAATATGAAGCATTTAGTCAGACCTAGCATGCATTATTCACAGAACAATTACCAACAATCCTAGTGATAAGATATAACGGTATAGGCCTTAACGTTAGAACGTCTGTAATTCCTTTGTAAAAATAACGAAGACCTAAACATAACCACGAGTTGTTTAAATAATAAAAAATGGGAATTTCTTTGCACGATATCATATCTTCAGCAAAGGTATATCAAGTTCACTGGAGATAAACATTATAGGATACTAGTTTTACAGTACTAGGATATTGTGTATTAAACCGCAGATCCTTTATTTTTGTCTACTTCTGGCCGTTGTCACAAGGGTGTCCAACAACAATTTTGCAAATTGATCCATAAATCTATTTTGCTTTCAAAAATGTGAGAAACATATCAGCAATTTTCACAATACAACAAACAGTAAGAAAGGGTTAATAGAGCATAATTACACAACTCCTAAATATGCGCAAAGTAACTCGTTGTTCATTAATTATTGATTTCTATACGAACACTTAGAATAGTGTTTTCTTTTTGTATGTATACGCTAAGTAAACTTTCAACTACTCATCTTGCTCTCCAATATAAATTACTGGACTGTCTTAGTTTTTCGTTATATTTGTGCAAAGAAAGAACAGTAGCAAACACATAATAGAGTATAAAAAAATAAAAATGAAGCAAAAATATAAATAAATCTTAATAGTATTAATGGGCTGCACTCTCGATTCATGAACTCATTCATTAGCCCCTGCTTCCCCACTATGCAATTAATTATTCAGTTATCTTGGCAAAAACATTTCGTTCCAGAAAAGAAATCTTGATTGATGCGACTTGTGACATAATAATTTGATAGCGGTGATCCGTACGGATATCTCCACATGTCTGCTTGGAAAGCATTTGCAGTAGTCAATGTTGTTGGTAGCGATATCGGAAAATTATTTCTCAGTACTTGATATGTATCAAGTTTTGGTGTATGAGGTGCGACCCCTGAATAGACATTGTTATCCTTATATAGTATCGCTTGTTGTGGTATGGTAGCTAATTTCTTCTCCAATAACTGCAAAAATGTATAAATTGTTGAAAGAAACGGGTTGGGAAGTGCGAATTTTTATTAAAATTTGAATAAGTCTCACACCTTTTCTATTGTTGTGATAATGTCATCATCACATTCGTTCAATGTTTCGAGTATTGTACCTGGAAGAATTGTTGGAAATGCTTGAATCAGTACATGAAACTTTCTGTATATGGAAGCAACAAACAAAAATGTAAAAAATCCGATCTTGGATATTTCAATGTCCTCGTATATACATTTCATTTTCTTCTTCAACTTAGCCAAACTAAAACTTATCGGATAGGTTATGAATTCTTCAAACTAAAATATAATTTTATTTCCGGTACTCACCGTCTAATTGAGTTATCTTTGGGGACATCCGACTTTGTTGATGAATTACTTTTCATAATTGAATTGAAACCATCTTTTACAAGAGTAGAATGAACAGGTGAAATGCGGTCACACAAATCCGTACTCGTCGAGTAATTTTGCGGTGTTGAAACTTCACTGCTGTTTGGGGAAAACGAGAAGCATCCAGAACTTGTAGCATCACTTTTGTTTTCTTTTTGGCACTCTCCGAAATTTTTCACCCCGGTGTTGTTAGTATCCTTCTCTAGTTTCTCAGGTGTTAGTAGACATCCATAGTCTTCGGTTTTGATCTTTTTTGATGCTACAGAAATGCCAAAACATTAGTTATAAAATATTTATATTTATAGCAAGATTTTGCCATTTTAAATAGAATATTCACCTTGCATAACTTCAGTAGATTCTGGAATCAAGTGTCGTTTCGCGATGATCAATCTAGATTCTTGAGCCTGTTGCCGCCGAAGTGCGACCTGGAATATTGGATAGAATTAGTTGGTTTATGTGTTGGTACAATATGTGTTGCAACGCTACTTTGAGATCAGGTCAACTTGAACTTACTTGAGCAGCCATAACTCTCTGTCTTTCTGCAATCAGGTTACATTTCACACATTCGCAAGTCTTCCATTTGCAGAAACGTTTGTGACCTTTCAAAACATTGATTTCGCCGTGATTTCTACATCTGTGATTTTAAAAAATTTATTCATTATGTTCATCGCCCAAATATTGGTTCTCCAGCTAAATTTTTTTTAACACAGCACCTACCGTGCGCACTTTGGTGCTCTGCTCCGTACAATACTTTGGTCGTTTGATGGAATGGCTTGATTTTCCATCTCTCGAAACTCATACGGCGATCTGATTGGAAAAGCATACGAAATTTGTTGCTGACGGATATAATCCATATTCTTAATAATTCCAATGATTTGATTCCATGCTGCTCTATAGTGATGATGTATCGAAAAGTTATTGATACTAATTGTCTCCTAACGTTTACATCTGCTGTTTTATATCCGTGAAATAATAATCATTTCTCGATTATCTCCATATTACGAAATAAAACAAAAGGCTTGCAGAATGCATTGTTCATTAATTATATTCGTTTCCACTTAACGAAAACAATTTGTTAAACAACTGATAAGAAATATAACCGAGCTTTTCCTGTTATTAAACCAAATTCCTGTGACACGTGATTAAATCCATTGATTGCTTGTTTGCTTTAATAAGACAATTTCGTTGCGTTACAACGAACACGCGACTTGTTTCCGCAAAATACACCAGGTGATTTCTTGAAAAGCGAAAATGAAAAGTATTTAAATTTGGTTAGCATTTAAACTCAAAAATATTTTTAATCCACTAAAGTCTCTAAAATTAAAATAATAAGGCAAATTTATATTATCAATTATTTTTCCAAATTTTATTTAAGTTTACAAACAGTTGACTTAATTTTGTTTGGTATAATTGCAAGTTGTGCTTGTGATCAAAGTAAATCAATTAGAGAAGACGAATTTAGGCTGGAATAGATACATTTTGTGTCTAGAGGTGACAACTTGCACAAAATGTCCGTTAACCTTCATAAATTTTTCTTGTCTTATTGTGTTTAATGAAAATCTATCTATTAATATTGATCCCTAGTGGACATAAATGAATTTCAAATTGTTGAAACTATTAATATAGTTGACATGTAGTTTGTAGACTGTTCAATTATAGTTCTTGTCCAGCGCATGACACCAATGGACACTAGTGCTTGTTAGTGATTAACAATTAGTGAATAATTAATTATTTATTGCTAAATACAATACACCGTCATTACATATCATCATTTATCTGATTTGAGATAATTGCAAAGTTACCGATAACATGTAATATGTTGTTATTATAATTTTCAATTATATATTTTCCGGTGACACAAGATTATTTATTTTGTGCAAATATTTACTTTATTAAGGACTTTGTCGCTGTTTTACGACATCTAATACGACCTCTATTTCATGTACAGCTGCTGTTGTCTGTACTTTTGCAATTTGAGAAATTATGAATACCTAGTGAAAATATGCAATATAAAGTAAAAATTTTCTAATAATTCCTTCCTTATATTTTCTCATCCATATTCCACTCACATGATTGAAAATAGTTGTGATTATCTCACAATATTTTCTTGTAATGTTGAAATGTAAATTTCACTTATTGCCTACGTAGTTGTAAATGAACACATTGCGATACAATAAGTGTATGAGTTCAATGAACAATTTTTTCATATTGTTGAGGTATCGAAAAATTTATATTTGGTGAAAATTATCAGCCACTAACGTACGTGAATATGGACAAGAAACAAAAAATAGAAATTGAAAACTTCGTGGATAAACACTTCAACGAAATTTAAATAGAAAACAAGAATAAGGCTACCATTTCAGGATGCTTCTCATTATCTACGAACAGAATCCCCACTAACACTTGAGTACATCTGAGGATATGTATGATCGAAATATTTCTCCCCTACACTTTATACTGAAAAGCTTGTTTTAAAGTAAGATACTAAGACGCAGAGGAAACAAAATCCAATATTTCACCGTTTCCGAATCTAATAAAATTGAACATGAAAGTATGTGCATCAAAATATTGTCGTTTCACCAAACTTCCTCTCGCCAGTCCTACAGCCCCCGCCATCACTTCCAGCTTATATATATACTCAAAATTCAAGCTGTGACTAAAGTCATATATGGAGAGTTCCATGTACTGGTTCAAACATTTTCAACAATTCTTCCAAGTACAATACTTGAAACATTGAACGAATGTAACGATTACGTTATCCCAACCATGGAAACGATGAGATGCTAGTTCAAACCTCAAATATGATTTATTTTCTTCCGTATCTCATATATTTTTTATTTTTAACAGATGTTGGCAAAAAAGTCTTCAACAAAATATATTTCTACATATGCTATCTACGCGAACTGGTGGAAAAGATATCCTGATATCTCTGCGGGTCCCCGCAAATCAACATCTGTGGCACAAGAAACATCAACCAGCAGTTATTATCTTGAAGTTATTTTAAGCAATGGTGAAATTAATGCAAAATTTTATTTAAAATATCAATGAAAATCTCAGATGTGAGAAAGCAAAAAACTAAGCAAGGGCTTACGACTTGAAAATAGCTTAAACACTCTGGGTGCTTATTCGTCAATATTTATATATATAATACTTATGTTCAATGTTTTCATCTTGTGTTTATGATAAATAATATATTTCTCACTTTGCACGCTGTTAGTTCAGTAACTGATGCATCGGTCCCGAAATAGAATAAATTTTTATATCCTCCCCACACCGGCATGAGAAATGCGGCAGCAAACTGAAATATCGACTTTACGGAATCTCCAAGGTTAAAATTATTCTGAATATAATACTGTGTCGTTTCTTACCAAGCTTGTCCCAAATTGATTCCGAATCGAAGTTTACCGTCTGCAGATTATCTCAACGGGATAAGTAAAACTTTAATGGTGGGTTATCGCGGAAAATGTTTTTGCTGAATTTTAGATTTTGATTTCGTATATTTATTTAGAAGTTTTGACGCTATTCACATAAAATCAATTAAATTTTTCTACATATTAATTTTTAAAATAGCAAACATCGGCCGCAGCGCGGAAACTGCCTATAAGATAACACAACCACTGAAAAAAAGTATTTATTTATGCCAATTTGCATTGTTAATTAATGATAAATAATGTTGCTTTTATGTTTTTTTATTCAAGGATTTTAATAATTTCTTCCGCATTATATCCCTGATAAAGAACTTGAATTGTTATTGATATTTTTTCTGAACTACAAATAATATTGATTTTTTTTCCTAGATTCAGATGTGAACTTCAAAACTCGGAAATTGAATACGTGAAATCTTTATAATTTGTGACATCCGTTTTGTTAAAAATTATTTCGGATCAGACTTGGCTTCATTCTATTCAAAAGCAATCATGTACAATCTTTGGTTCGAGTTAGCATAAGAAGGTGTGAAGGAAAAAATAATACACATCAAAAGTTTATTCGCAATTCGAATATATTTATTTTCGTCTATTCTTTGTTATTTATTTATATTTTTGTGTTTAAATCACATTTTTTTGTACAAAATAAATACATTTTGTGCGATTGCAATTTTTTTTAGCTATGAAAATGTAATATGAAGCATTCAGTCAGACCTAGCAAGCATTATTCACAGAACAATTACCAACAATCCTAGTGATAAGATATAACGATATGGGCCTTAACGTTAGAACGTCTGTAATTCCTTTGTAAAAATAACGAAGACCTAAGAAGAACCACGAGTGGTTTTTATAAAAAAAATGGGAATTCATTGGCACCATACCATCCATATCTTCAGCAAATGTATATCAAGTTCGCTGGAGATAAACATTATAGGATACTAGTTTTACAGTACTAGGATATTGTGTATTAAACCGCAGATCCTTTCTTTTTGTCTACTTTTGGCCGTTGTCACAAGGATGATCAACAACAATTTTGCAAATTGATCAATGAATCTATTTTGCTTTCAAAAATGTGAGAAACAGATCAACAATGTTCACAATTCAAAAAACAGTAGAAAGTGGTTATTGAAGCACAATTACACAACTCACAAATATGCGCAAATTAACTCGTTGTTCATTAATTATTGTTTTCTATACGAACACTTGGAATAGTGTTTTCTTTTTAGTATGTATACGCTAAGTAAACTTTCAACTATTCATCTTGCCCTCCAATATTAATTACTATACTTTCTTAGTTTTTTTCGTTATATTTGTGCAAAGAAAGAACAGTAGCAAACTCATAATAGAATGGAAAAAATAAATAAAAATGAAGCTAAAATATAAAAAATCTTAATAGTATCAACGGGCTGCACTCTCGATTCATGAACTCATTCATTAGCCCCTGCTTCCCCACTATGCAATTAATTATTCAGTAATCTTGGCAAAAAACATTTCGTTCCAGAAAAGAAATCTTGATTGATGCGACTTGTGCCATAATAATTTGATAGCGGTGATCCGTACGGATATCTCCACATGTCTGCTTGGAAAGCATTTGCAGGAGTCAACGTTGTTGGTAACGATATCGGAAAATTACTTCTCAGTGCTTGATATGTATCAAGTTTTGGTGTATGAGGTGAGACTCTTGAATAGGCATTGTTATCCTTATATAGTATCGCTTGTTGTGGTATGGAAGCTAATTTCTTCTCCAATAACTGCAAAAAAATATAAATTGTTGAAAGAAACGGGTTGGAAAGTGTGAATTTTTATTAAAATTTGAATTAGTCTCCACCTTTTCTATTGTTCTGATAATGTCAGCATCACATTCGTTCAATGTTTCGAGTATTGTACTTGGAAGAATTGTTGGAAATGCTTGAATCAGTACATGGAACATTCTGTATATGGAAGCAACATAAACAAATGTAAAAAATTCGATCTTAGATATTTCGACATATATACCTCTATCTTGATAAAAACTTAGTCAAACTAAAACTTTTCGAATGAGTTACGAATTCGTCGATTAGCAGATTTTAAGCTAGACAATGATATGACTAAGTTATTTTACTACCAAACTAAAGTAATATTTTATTTCCGGTACTCACCTTCTAATTGAGTTATCTTTGGGGACATCCGACTTTGTTTCTGAATTTCTTTCCCCAATTGAGTCTTTCACAGGAGTAGAATGAACAGGTGAAATTCGGTCACACAAATTATCAACCGTACTCGTCGAGTATTTTTGCGGTGTCGAAACTTTACTACTGCTTGGGGAAAACGAGAAGCATCCAGAACTTGTAGTATCACTTTTGTTTTCTCTTTGGCACTCTTCGAAATTTTTCTCAACGGTGTTGTTGGTATCCACCTCTAGCTTTTCGGATGTTAGTGGAGGTATATAGTCTTCGGTTTTGATCTTTTTTGATGCTATATAAATACCAAAACAATATCCATGAGTTCTATATTTATTTATATCAGAATTTTGGGTACTCCCGTAGTATGTGTACCAGGTTAGGGTCAACCAATAATTTCATTCCGATTATTTCATTCTATTACGACTTCGGGGACTGCTTGTGTTAGCCAAGTGAATATACCCCTTGCCTATATGCTCCCGTCCCTTTACACAACTTGATGTAAAGTAGGCAAACAAAATTAGGTACCTCCATATTGGTACACATACTTCTGGAGCGATAATTTTGTTACTTTAAGCAGAATATTCACCTTGCATAACTTCCGTAGATTCTGGAATCAAGTCTCGTTTCTCGATGACCAGTCTTGATTCTTGAGCCTGCTGTCGCCGAAGTGCAACCTGGAATATTGGAAGGAAGTAGTTGGAATATGTGTTGGTACAATGTTTGTCGCAAAGCTACTTTAAGGTTTTAAGGTCAACTTGAACTTACTTGAGCAGCCATAACTCTTTGTCTTTCTGCAATCAAGTTACATTTCACACATTCGCAATTCTTCCATTCACAAAAACGTTTATGACCTTTCAAAACATTGATTTCGCCGTGATTTCTGCATCTGTGAAATGTAAATATTAATTCATTATGTTTATTGCCCAACTATTCGTTCTCCACCAACAAACTCTTAAAACCACAGCTACCTTGCGCACTTTGGTGCTCTGCTCCGTAGGCCTACGATACTTTGGTCGTTTGATGCAATGGCTTGACTTTCATTCCTTGTAAACCCAAATGGCGATCTGATAGGAAAGGCATACGACATTTGTTGCTGACGGATAGAATCCATATTTTTAATAATTTTCACTGATTTAATCTTATGTTGCTCTTTAGCGATGATCTATCGAAGAGTTTCTGAAACTAATTGACTCCTAAGATTTACATCTGCTGTTTTATATCCGTGAAATAATATTCATTATCTCGATTATCTTCATATTGCAAAATAAAACAAAAGGCTTGCAAAATGCATTGTTCACTAATTATCTTCGTTTCCATTTGACGAAAACAATTTGTTAAACAACTGATAACAAATATAATCGAGCTTTTCCTCTTATTAAACCAAATTCCGGCGACACGTGATTATTTTCATTGTTTGTTTGTTTATTTTAATAAGAACATTTTGGCGCGTTACAACGACCACGCGACTTGTTTCCACAAAATACAACAGACAATTTCTTGAAAAATGGAAAAGTATTTGAAGGTGGTTGGTATTTGAACTTAAAAATATTTTCAGCAACTAACGTCTTCAAAATTTAAACGTGAGGTAAACTCATATTGTCAATTTTTTCCAAATTTTACTCTTTGAATTTACAAACAGTTGGCTTCATCTGATTTTGTATAATTGAGAGTTGTGGTTAGGGTCAATCAATTACAGAAGACGAATTTATGCTGGGCAAGATAATTTTTGTGTTTAAAGAGACAATTTTACCCGAAATGTACGGTAAGCCTTTGCACACCTGTCTTGTGTTATTGTGTTTAATGAATTGTATACTTCCGGCAAAGATCTATACTTTGCTTTTGATATGAAGTCTACATAAATTATTTTGCTTTTAAATTATTGAAAATATTAATATAGTTGTTTTTTAGCTTGAAGACAGTTTGAAAATAATTTTTGTCTAGCGCATGAATGCAATAAACATTACTGTTTTTTAGTGATTCAAAATTATTTAAAATTAAAAATGCATCGTTCAATACAATAAATCTTCATTAAATTTCATTAACTATCTGCTTCGAGATAACTTGCAAAGTTACTGATAACACGCAAAACGTTGATATTATTATTCTTGATTATATATTTTCCGGTGACACAAGATTAATTCTTTTGTGTATATGTTTACTTTATTAAAGAATTTATCGCTGTTTCACGATATCCAACAAAACTCTTATTTCGCGTGAAGCTGCTGTTGCCTACTTTTAATATTCGAGAAATTGAATTTCACCACCAAGTGAAAATATGCAAAATATCGAAGAAATTGTCTAGTAAAGTTTTTGAATATTCTCCTATTCGGGAAGATATTACTTACCCACATACTTAAAAATTGTCGTAAAGATCTCACATGTCATATCTCATATGTACTTGTGGTTGTGATGTTGAAATGTTACTTTCACTTTTTGTATACTTAGTTAAAATTGTACGTATGGGTTCAACCGTGCGGGTGTAGGCTACATATAAATATATCCTCTTCACCGAAAAACAGAGAAATGTGAGACAAAATAATGTATATATCAAATAATTTTCAATATTCCTTTTTTACTTATTTCAATATTTTATTTATTTTTACGTGTTCGTAATAAATAATATATTTGAACAGAAAGACAAGTGACTCAGGTACCTTTCACCTTTTTTCCAAATTTTTTCCTGCTCTTAAAATAGACCTTCGATAGAAATTTTTCAATGCATCACGAATGCGTGGCCTTAACAATCTCTTGATTATCGCATCATAATTTTTTCATAGCCCTATCAAATTCTCTTGTAGCTTCAAATTTTTTACTTATTGTATACGAATTTGCCCAAACAACCGAAAGATAGCAAGCAATAATTTACACCTAAAATCAAGTACGCGCAGATAAGCAACCCCTGATACATTTAAAGAAATAAATTAGCACCAACTGGTGATGCGTATAATAACATAGCAAATGCTTGAAATGAGATTCGTAACATTTGGTTATAATATATTTTTTTTTAAATCATTCGCTAAAAGACAATACCCAAACACGGAGTTCCTTAAAAGAATCTCAGGGCGCGAAAACGTTGCAGATAAACAGCAACCACTCCAATGAGTAAAGCTAAATTTTAACGGCGTGGAAGTCCGTTGAAGAGAAGATACAAATGAATTATTCAAACGGTGTTAGGATGAAAGGCCATGCATCAAAAATAGGCTACATGTCGTTGACGAAATCTTGGTGGATTCCAGAAGCATGTTTCGGATCAATTATATATACTTGTAATACTTTTGTTACTCCTGCTGTATACATTTTATATTTATACAATTTTACAATTCATTTGTTTTCTTTCATTTACTTCAATACTTGCGGCTAGAGCACGGCCGTGCCGAACTTCCCTTTTTCCAGTGCGAGTTTCTGATAATGATGTCCCTTATACCTAACTTCGAAAATAATGCGGGGGATAAACAAATCATATATGTTGTTATACATGAAAATGACAGAGAATTAAAAAGAAAGCGTCATCGACTTCGCTAAATCACGCAATGACCAGACGAGAACTTTGTCGGGAAAGGCAGTTAGACATTGCTGATTCACCATCACGCAATCAGTTGCACAAGAGTTGTAAGGTCGTCTTTCAATTAAATGAAAACACATCGAGAAAAACATGTGTAATAACACGAAGCCTACAAACTGCTGCCCGAGGCGGCTGCGCTTGTGGGCAACCCCTGGTACAGAGACAAAGCAACTGATAACATTTAATCGAGATCTTCACTTTGTTTAAACGAATTTCTGTAACATATGATCGTTTGTTTGTTTACTTTGGCAAGTAAACAATCTTGATGTTGGGAAATGAACACGTGAACTACTTCCGCTTAATATTATCCTGTGATTTTACGAGGCTTTCGGAGATGAAAGTTATATGTAATTGGTTTATCTCGAAAATGTGTACAACAAAAATTGTTGAGGAAATTCCCAATCCAAAAATATCTAGCTAATTTCCTTTCAGAGTGAATTGTTTTCATGGAGTAAATCTAAATAGTATTTAAGCAATATTTTCACAAATGTAATGAATGATTTAAAAAAAAATTGTCACTTTATTTTATTTGAATTTAAAAGTTGTAATTGAAATGAGAAGACTCTCTTTAAAATACAAAGGAAATAGCATTTTCAACTTTTAGCAGAACAAAACAAGATAAAAAATTTCCAGCAACTGATAATATTTTGCTCCTAATACTGAACTGTAGTTCATAAAGAACAACTGCTAATTAATTCAAATTAATTCGATATCGAATTTTCTAAAAAATATACAAGATATATTAAGCGGAAGCAAGTCGCGTGGATATTGTAAAACGCCAAAATCATTCTTAATAAAGTAAACAAACAAACAATAAAATTAATCGCGTGTCACAGGTATTAGTTTTAACAAAAGCATGGAATGTGTAATAGTTCTTATCAGTTGCATTACAAACTGTTTTTGTTAAATGGAAGCGAAGATAATTAGTAAACAATACATTTTGTAGGCCCTTTTGTTTTATTTCGTAATATAGAGATAACCAGAAAAAATAATTAGGCTACTATGTTACAGATATAAATATAAGGAAACCGTTGAAAATTCATTATAAGAGGCAATCAGATTCAGTAACACGTCAATTCATCATTTGCATAAAGTAAACACATCATCAAATCAACGGAGCTTATGAAAAATATGGATTCTATATGCAGGCAGCAAACGATTTCTTACGCTTTACCTATTGGCTCGAAGTATGATTTCACACATCATTTACCTCAAGCCAGTGCATCAAGAGACCAAAGTGTGCTACAGAGCAGAGCGCCGAAATGCGCACGGTAGGTGTCACGTTGGAACGTTTTTACTTTGGAGACAAATTGCAAATGAAATATTTAAAAACATTCAACATTTTACAGGTGTCGAAATCACGGCGAAATCAGTGTTTTAAAAGGTCATAAACGGTTTTGCAAATGGAAGAATTGTGAATGCATGAAATGTAACTTGATTGCAGAAAGACAAAGAGTCATGGCTGCTCAAGTAAGTTGAAATTAGCATAAATTCGCAGTAGGGTTGCAATGTATATAGCACTAACATAAATCCCAACTAATTCATTTATATATTCCAGGTTGCACTTCGTCGACAACAGGCTCAAGAATCAAAATTGATCAATGGGAAACAAAACTTGTTCCCAGAATGCCCTCAAGTTATGCAAGGTGAATATACTATCCGACACATCTTGTGCTATTGATAAAATTATCGACATTTAAAACAATTCTTGATACTTCAACAGCATCAAAAAGGTTTAAAACCGAAGAGTGTTATCATCCCCTAGCATCTGAGAACACTGTCGGAGAACAAGATAGAGAAACCAAAAACCCTAGTCATAATCACTCCGAAGAGATTCAAATCGAAAACAAAAGTGATGCCACAAGCTCTGGATGCTTCTCATTCTCCCCGAATAGTAGCGATGTCTCGACTCCAAAACAACATTCAAATAGTTCTGAGGACGTGCGTGACCGAATTTCTCCTCTACACTCTACTCCAGTAAGAGCTGGTTCTAAATTCAACAATCAAGCCGAGAATGCAGCAAAATTGGACATTCCACATATTTTTGATTCGAATGATAATTCAACATCAAGGTTAGTGCTGCAATTAATCACAGCCTTTTATATCTACCCGCAGTTGCCACCGGGGCTAATAGCTTACGAAGGGGACCTACGAACATGTTGCCAATTATTGTTGTGCTAGGAAGCTATTATTTTTATTTTTCAGATTTTATTTTTCAATCGAATCCCCCCCTTCCTCAATTTTGCTGACATCGCGGTAGTTATTTGACATTCCTGTTCATATACTTGAGCATTGCTTTTATTCATTACTGACGATGACCAATAATAACCACGATAAAACCACTCTCGGATTTAAAACGTTTTCGAAGCTTTTGAAAGTTTTACCTAATGTCGGATCTGAATCTGACTTATTTATGTTTTGGAATTTAGAACAATTAAATTTATCACGTTGAAATCTCCAAAGTAGTTTCTTGTATTGAATATCATTATTTTGTTCTACAGAAAGTTCCGGGTACTGGTCCAAACATTTCCAACAGTTCTTCCAAGCAAAATACTGGAAACGTTGAACGGATGTGATGATGACATTATTAGAACAATAGAAAAGGTGAGAGACAAGTTCCAACTCCAATACAAATTTGCTTACTTTTGAATAATTCTTACATCAATTCATACTTACTTGTTTTTACAGCTATTGGCGAAAAACTCTGATTCTGCTGCACATCAAGCGATGTCGAATACTGAAATCAACGTTAATTCCAAATTATTAACCCAGACGCCAATATTTGGTTTCTATCATACATGGGGAAATAATTTTCCGATTTCGTTACCACCACCACCACCATATACTCCTTCAAATGCTCTTAACGCGGACTGGTGGAAAAGATATCCTTACGGATCTTCGCTAATCAACTTTTATGACTCAAGAAAAATCAATCAACAGTTGTCATCTGGAACGCAAAGTTATCTGCCAAGACGAATAAACAAGTAGACGCTTCCGTATTTCTGACGACGTAAAATGTAATTTTTCCACGAAAAATGGATAAAGACCAATGGAAGTCTGTAGTCTGGAAGGAGCCTAAGAATTGAATGCAATGCAGTCCGTTGATTTTTCCTAATGTTCTTCTTTTTTTTGCATTTACTTAATTATTTTGTTTTCGCCATATTCTCATAAAAATAAAAAGAGACATAACAAGTCTATCATTTTTAATAAGCGACCTATCCTGCTATGACATTCAGTAGCACTAATTCAGACCGATCATTGCTAATTAAACACGCGCGTAGGTAGGCATGTAGGTCCGGAATCCAAATATATATGACAATCATGCAAAACAAGTCATTACGAAGTCATGGTTTTCGTAAGATTGGAAACACGTAAGAATTGAACTGAATAAATCATCCCCGTGGCAACAATGTCGATTAGTGCAAGTGAAGTAACTTTCCTACTAATTAAGTATCTCGATAGAAAACTATATTATACGATTCTGCGTTTTGAAACAGAGACATTATCAGCCATGGGCAAACGGAATTCAGCCAGTCGCCGACGACGGTGAGCTCACCTACGCGACATCGTTACCTCTTAGCGTCCACTCACTATACTCTTCACCAACGTCACCTTACAATCCGTGTCACGCTTTGATGATAGTCTACTCCAGTGGTTTCCAAACTTTTTGTACCATCGCCCCCCTACAATAGTTTATACAGTATATACAAATTAATTTTTCAAAACTTATATTAATGATTTAGGTATCTCATTCATTCCTACAGCCTGATGACCTTCATCAAAATACATGATATATAACGGTCTTCGGTAAAATTCACCCCCTATTCCTCATACTACCACGTCCTCCAGTCCGATCACCAGTCCATAAAATTAATCAGCCATTTGTTTGGGATTTGTGGACTCGGATGGCTCAGGTGTCGGCAAATTTTACGTCGCTCGCGGAACAAAATTTAGGGTTGCTATTCTTTTGCGGATCGCATATATTTTTTTAAGTTAAAATTTTAAAGTTAATTAAAATTTAAGTTAAAAACGGAACATCGTGCAAAAACTGCGACAATTCGTGAACTCAACTCAGTAGTCTTATTAAAAAATTATTACAATGACATTTGATGTGACACTGTCTTGTTGCTGCATCACGCTTGATAGCTTTGCGACGCCAATATTGGAAGATTCTCTAAATGGGCATCACTAATACTAATTCTTTGCTTGTTCTTTGTAATGTTCATTTTCAAAAATAATTGTTTGCACAAATATGTACTTCCAAACATCGAAGTGAATATTTTCGCATGGTTTAAGAAATTTCGATGAAGATTTTCTTTAAGAAGATACATTCTTACAAACATTAAGCAGTGATGAATCTCTCGAATGGAATATGAATTTGATTTCCTTATTGCATTGCAATATATTCGAATATTTACTGCGCTATTGAAGCCCTGCACTCAGCATCAACTTTTCTTCGTGTTTCAATTAAACGAGTAGCTGTTCAATGTAATTTTTAGGATATAATAAAACTTAGCCCAAACGTCTCACGATAAATTCTGTTACGTAAAAAAATGTAATTTACTCATCGAGCGTAGATAATATATAAAATTAATTCATCGTTAAAACCGCCGTTTGGATGTTTCCCCTGGCAAAGACTTCCTTGTTTACTTCGTGACATTGGTCAATCAGCAAGATGCAAAAATAAACGTAACAATACCCCCTTTCGCATCCGCTCAAACACATTCCTCACTCAGACAGACTTTCAGGCGTGGTCGTGAACATTACCGCGATTTTGAATTATATTTGTTAGTTTTTAATTGTTTTTCGGAAATTTAAATAAACGGTCACCTTGTCCTCCTAGGAGTTTCAGTTTAATTACAGTGATCAAAAATTAGTGTAGAAATAGCTGTGATAGACTAGGCTAAAATTCTTTACCGGTACTTTTAAAAAACAGATTGTTGAATGGTATGAATTAGAATGATAGTGTGAAGCAAATACTTCATTTTATAGGCAACAACTCGCGAAACCACTCTTAAAATAAACACCGAAAATTTTAGAATGGGAAAATTTTTCCGGGGTCAAATGTCGGGAAAAAATTCATTCAGTGAAGCGTCCCCGGCCAGATTACTACAGATTTCCCGACCACTGGGATACGCAAACTACCGTACCTTACTGCGAAGACGAGTCCAGCAATCCTTTTTTGCAGCATTTGCACCCGCGGACATTCTTACCCACATAAATTTGCACCCGCGAACATTTGCCCCTATGTACATTAGAACCCACGTAAATTTGCACCCGCATACATTTGCATCCGCGGACATTGACATTCACGTACATTTGCACTCATGAACATTAGAACCCACGTAATTTTGCACCCGCATACATTTGCATCCGCGGACATTTACATCCACGTGCATTTGCACCCATGTACATTTGCATCCGCGGACATTTACATCCACGTAAAAATTTGCACTCGCATACATTTGCATCCGCGGACATTTACATTCACGTACATTTGCATCCGCGAATATTATAACCCACGTAAATTTGCACTCGCATACATTTACATCCGCGGACATTTACATCCACGTACATTCGCACCCATGAACATTAGAACCAACGTAAATTTGCACCCGCATACATTTGCATCCGTGGACATTTACATCCGCGTGCATTTGCACCCATGTACATTTGCATCCGCGGACATTTACTTCCACGTACATTTGCACCCACATACATTTGCATCCGCGGACATTTACATCCACGTAAAAATTTGCACTCCCATACATTTGCATCCGCGGACATTCACATCCACGTACATTTGCACCCTTCTGTGTGGCCATAGGCTGAACCCAGGCCATTTTTCGTAACGATAGCTCTTTTCACTGCCTCGCATCACCTCATTTAGGAACTCTATGTCACATTTAACGCACAGCCTTTCTTGTAACATTTCTCTCGGTCCCAAGAGTGAAAACCTTCGCTGGTATATGGGCACTGGCCTGCAGTGAGTTTGAAGCGTAAATTTTGTTTCTTGACTACTAATTAACTAGTTATGTATTAATCTGACTCCAAACAGAATATAGTATAGGTTACGTGTTCAGTTGAGTTTGAGATCTCTGTTAATTTGATATAACAGCCAAGGATCAGAAAGGTTTAGCTGTACAATTTTATTTCTTTCGACAATATATTACAATAATTTAAATCAGCATAAACAAATTACACTTCTAAACTATTATTAATAATTTAACTATCTATCTCTTAAGGTTAGCTGTTAGCTGTTAGCTGCTAGCTGTATCTTTTGTTTGATGAGATCATATTTGTAAGGTTTCACACTTCAAACAGTCTTTGCTCGATACCTCTAGCAAAATCCATGTAAAATAGGGGTGATTCATCATATCACATGAGAATTATGCACTTGCGTGCAATATTTGGGTCGAATTCTTTCGCTAGAACTCTCTAGAATTTATAATATTTTATGACGTCAGAAATTATATTTAGCATTGATATAATCCAACCAAAAGTTATTAACTCGCGTTGTATTTTTTCTTGGGATTCTTGTGGTGTCCTGTCTGTGGGTGACACCGTAGAAGCTCAAATTCTTGTCTCGCTTTCTTCGGCAGCCATTTTTAGTCAGTAGCCACGTAATAAACGATCCGGGGCAAATATTTCTTTAGTTTGACTAGGTTTTCTCCAACATTCTTAGGAAAGTAAGGGTTCGAGTGTAACGATTCGTCTTCTCGTTCTATGACAAAAGAGGGCACGAACCCCTAATCTGTTGAGTGTATGTTATACACATTCACCGGTGGAGGTTTGATGACATTACAGCATGGGTCGAAGATCTCGAATATCTCCCGCTTCTGCCGGCCGCTTTAACCGCTTGCTGATCCAATAACTCCAAATTCCAGAACTCTTGCAATTCCTTTGCTACATCACCCCACGCTTGCTGCCTTGCATTATCATCCTGGGGAATTCGGGTAATCTAGCCCGGAGATTACGGAACAGTCTAAGTCTTCCCTTATTTCGTCCTTCAGTTGTTTATCCAGTTGGCGCAGTGCCTATGTATTTCAAACAAGGGTTTCTTTCTCAAACTGTTTGCAAAGTCATTGATCACTTTCTCATTATTCGCGATCCCGAAGGAGTTCGACACAGTCAATAGCTCCATTATGGCGCTGTTGCGAAATCACTTTTTTGGCGCCCCGTAACTCGCGTTGCATTTGGGCAAAAAGTTTTTGTTTCTCCAACAAGTCTTGGCGGAGTTTCTATTCCACCTCGCTGACATTTTTCTTTCTCTGTCGGGTTTGTTTAATTAGGCTCATTCTTTTCCTTCTCCCTGAAAAGACCCGTCCTCCCTTTTTTGAACCAATTTAACACTATTTCTATAAATGTATTTGAAAGTATCACATATAAACATGCGATACGTGGTCTCTTGATTGGAGTCTTCCACGTGAGGACTGGTATTCTGGACTGATTCTTCGGTGACGCGTCAGTAGCCTTATTCATAACTAATACTTATTGAATTAGTTAAGTAGGTTGAGAAACGACTAAGGGCTACTTGAAGTTTGCGTTTCCCCGAAATGCTGCCTTTCCATGGCCATCTTCTTGACGTGTGCAGTTTTTGTCCTGTCCCTTTTGCATACATACAACAACAACCTTCTAATGTTCACCGTCCCGTCGATGAAGGTCTTTGCTATTGTATGTCGATCTTTGTCGACACTAACTCGAGTCTCAGAGCGACCCGAGTCTGCCTACCTTATTTACTTCAAGAACTTTCAAAGAAACTATTCAAGCTAATATTTTTTTCATTCTAGCGTAATATTTTGGATACTGATTTTATTTTTTTTAAAATGCCATTATGTTGTTGAATTTAATTCACGCAATTCTAACAATTTCAATATGGAACTCCGTGCACAAGGAAAATCCGAGCAAAGCCTCATCCCACTGCCAACACTGCCAAATCATCGGCATTTCGTTTTCTACTATAAAAATGTAATCCTATCCCAAACCAAATCTGAGAGGCAATTATATTAGTTGTACAAATACCAAATAGCTCGGTTCAGGGCATGTTAGCGTAAAATTGGATAAGCAAGTATATGTGAACTACATAGGCAGATTAATATGTGCGGGGGTTCAAAAAAGTCCGCGGAGTTATTAAAAGCCGACATGGCCGTACTTTGCGCCCTTTAACATTGCTACAAAAGATTATATATCTCGGCTTCGAACCGTGT